TAGTGTCTCTGACAGAAGAAGATTTAAATCCAAACATATCCATGATTGTATTAAATGCTCCATTAACCGTGAATGTGTTAAATGCTCCAATTTTAAGAAAAATGACAAAGATTATTGGGCAAGATTAAAAAGAAATGAACTATATGCTATACAAGAGACACATCTTAAATGTAAGGATATCAGGATCCAGAAAGATTGAAAGTAAAAAGATAGAAAAGGATAAGTGAAGCAATCTCTAAACAAAAGAAAGATGGTGTGGCTATAATTACATCAGACCCGTGGGATTACTTAATCTGTGACCATGTGCCAGCACATATGGGGGCACTATGCTTTTTTTGTTGTTCAGACTCACTTCTGGACTTAAGGGTATTTTCCTATCTTTGCTTCTCTTTACCTTTGTGTTTCTAGCAAGTTGAAAATGGATTTGCATTTGGCTGGTTAACATATATTGCTGGCATGAGATTGCCCAACACATGCATAGTTTTGTGTCCCCATTGCAGCCCCGAGTGAGTTTGGTATAAGTGGGAGAAATTCCTCTGGGGTGCATGTATGGTGTGGAGGAGGCAGGATGTCTGGAGATCCCCAAGTGGCCCAATAAGGAGGCTTGCCTTTGGAAATGAGCCATCTCACCCATTTTCCTCCTGGGGTGACCTGTTCTGACTGGGACCCCTGCAATGACCTCTAGCTCACTCTGCCTTTCCTCTCCTTCCCGCCTGCCGCAGGCCTTTGTTCATGTGGTGTAGAAAATATTTCTGAGTTTTATCTTGAAAGCAAAGGCCACTGTAGGAAGACACTGCTCTGGGTTGTTTGGACAAGGTTGGTGGTGGAGGTGGAATTCCTTTCATCTGTTACAAAGATGAAGATTAAATGCCCCAGGACTCGGTGTTGGTGGCTTTGTCTGGATTGGTTGCTTCTGCTATGGATCCTCTGCTTGTCTGAAGCCAAGTGCTTTTTGTGTTCCAGAAACATCTCAGAATTTCCATCTGATGCAGGTTCCCTTCATTGTTCTTAAATGCCAATACAGTTTTAATCTCAATTCAGTCATTTCAGTGAGGCTCTGGGATGCTTTGTGGTAAATTCACGTGATCAGTTCCTCATCTTGAGTTATAAGTCCAAAATTATTTTGCAAGGACAATTATAGTCTTTCCCAAGTGTCCCATTCTCTCCCTTCTAAATGGAGTGTCTTTCTTAAGTTCCCCAGTTTTCATACGAGTCTGTGAACCTCACATCCAGCATTTAACTGGGTTTAGGGAGAGCTACACTGGAGGTATTTGCCAGAGGGTATAAACCTGGATTTACAGCTCTTCTACCTTTAGAGGCTGGGCTAAGAGTAGCAATGTGTGTGGAGACTTGTCTGCCAATCTTCTACTCTGGAATCGTTCCTCAGATTAAACAGACGAAGAGAGCTGTGTACTTGCCCTGAATCATATCCACTGCTATAGAGTGAATGTTATTGGATTGTGTGTGGCTTGATGTCATCTGCTTATACTGAGGGAACCTGAAAAGTAATCGGCCAATAAACAGTGTTTACAATGCCACAGTTCTTTACAGCACATGCCAAGGTCCCAGGAGATACATTTCTCTCAGGAATAATTTAGACTTTTCCTGACTAAGTGGTTTGCTTTTACTTGTAGCCACTGCAGACTTAAGGGTCGTGTTCTCTCTAATAGCATCTAGAATACATAAAGCGCATTTTAGGGTCCCCACCCTCAGCACCTACTGCCCTTCTGAGCCTTCATAACAAGTATTTTTTTTGTTCAAACTTCTCTTGAGGATCCAGGTGAATTTTCTTCATTTATTTCCCCTTTCCCTCAAAAAATTTCTTGATAACTTTACAAATATTATTATTTGCATGCTTTGTTGTATGAAGCATATTTTGTAGGTGTTTTGTATGAAATCAGAGAATAACTAAGGATTTTTTTCCACCCCTACAATATCTAAAAGCCACTGTTTTGTCCAAAGGAACTTTCTATGTGACTGAATGAAGAGATTCTTTGTCTTTATGATAATCTAGAGATGAAGGAGATGAGGTAGAAGGTGTTACTGAGAGGAAGAGGTTGCCCGTATAACAAAGCATTTGGTATCCTCCAAAATAAGGTGTTTGTGGCTCACCAAGGAAATTGGACAGCTTGCTAATAATGCAAATTAGGTACATCGCACCCTTATGGGGGTGGGACCATGCAAATAAGGTGTATGGAACCCTAATGAGGGGATTGGTTAGTTTTGCCATCCTGCTAGGCTTAAAAGAGAGCCAATCCCAGAACAGAGGGTGTATCTCACTACCAAGAAGAAGAGACGGGAGCAGAGTATTTCCTTTGGACCCGGGGTTCCTGCACTTAGAAACTCCTAGACCCAGAAGGCAAAGAGAGAGAGCTGTAACACCAGAGACAGCAAGAGATGGTGAGAAGCAGCAGCAGAGAAACAGTGGTAGCAGAGGCAACAGAACCAGGAGACCAGCAAGAGATGGCACGGTGGCCTTCCCAGCCAGCAGAGTGAGAAAGCTGAGCACCTTCAGGCAAGAGCCTTGCTGGCAGAGTGGGGTGCCTCTAGGCACTTTGTGGAGCTAAACTTGCTGACCCATGGAGCTGGAGAGCTGAGCGCCTTCGGGCTGAGGCTTACTGGAAGAGTGGGGTGCCTCTGGGCACTTATTGGTGGAGCTAAAGAGCTTTGTAACACTTGCCCAAGCAGGGCAGTGGTTGGGCTGAGGGGCTGAGGACCAAGAGGCTGAGGACTAGGGAGAGGTCTGCCTGTGGACACGGCTGAGAAGAAGCTGTCCTAATCAAAGAACTGTATCCTGACTCATTTCTAATCCTGAACTGTAACCTGTTACTTCCCTAATAAACCCATAATCATGGGTATTGTCTGTGAGTTCTATGTAGCCACTGCAACAAATTATTGAATCCAGTAGAGAAGTAGAGATTGCTGTGGGAAAGATGGCTGGCGTCAGAACTGATAAAAAGGTTGAAGGATGGAGGTGTGTTTGACCTCTGCCTCACAGGAATCAGCTTTGGGCTGTCCATGCTGATAATGATTCTCCTCCCCTCTTGTGAAGTTAGACAAAGAGGTCAGACACCTCTGCCATGTCATTTTTACACTTGTTGAAGGGCTTTGGAATTGTGGCTTTGACCTAGTTTGGTAAATCACTCAGTTTCTAGTATTTGCTTTGTGATAGTTAAGGTTATGTGTCAACTTGGCTAGGCCATAATTCTCAGTGGTTTGGCAGATATGATATAATCACCCTCCATGATAACTAGGGTGAAAGTTGATAGTAATATGGCCCATGATGCACGTAGAGAAAAGTGGACAGTTTCAAAGTAATAGGTGAAAAAATACACATGATTTTGATGATGAATTGGATATGGGAGTGAAGGACAAGAAGACATCAAGGATGGGCCCCAGATTTCTGGCTCGCAGACCTGGATGGGTGGTACAGCTATTTGTTGAGAGCCAGGCTTGTGCAGGAAGATCACAAGTTCTATCTTGCACATGCTGAATTTGAGGTCCCTTTGAAATCTCAAAGCATAGTTGTCAATGAAGCAATTGGACACTCAGGTCTACAAGTCAGAAGAGAGATCTGGACTGGAGCTATACATTTGGAAATCATAGATATTTGAAGATGATGTCTATGAGAGAAATAAAGAAGGCCTAGGATGGAACCTTGAGAAGCCTCAATTTAATGGCTCCATGGAGGAGAATAAACCTGCAAAAGAGGGTGACATGGAGCCAGAGAGGAGGAAGAAAAGGAGTGAGATGTCACAGAAGCCAAGAGAAATGTGTTTAGAGAGGAGGTCAGCAGTGGTCAGCAGAGTCAAATGCAGCTGAAAGGCTAAATAAGATGAAGACTAAAATGTGTTCATGCAGATGAATTCATTAGAGATTGCTCATAACCTGGGGTGATGGGGATGGAAGGCCGATTGCAGTGAGTTAATGTGTGAATGGGAGATGAGAAAATGGAAAAAGCCAGTGTAGACTTTTCAAAAATTGTTGGTTATGAAGAGTTCAAAGAGGAGGGAGAGAGGGAGGAAGGGAGGAAAAGAGGGAAGGAGGGAGAGACAGAGTGTGAGATAGATAAGGAGAGGTGGGAATTTGAGGAAGAAAAACTTTTTTTTTTTTTAAACTGGAAATGATTAAGTGTAATTATCAAAGGGAAGCTGTTAAATACACCAGACCTATAACAGCAGATAGGGTATGATTTCTGAGACTGGGTTAGTTGGTCAAAGAATAAGAGACATGATTCGCCTAGAGTAGAACAACTCTTCTATATAGTGGTTTGCAAAGTGTGGTCCCCACCCAGTAACACTCTCGTCATCTGATAACTTGATAACCCAAACAAAAACAAAACCCAAACTCGTTGCCGTCCAGTGGATTCATAGCCACCCTATAGGACAAAGTAGAACTGCCCCATAGGGTTTCCAAGGAGTGGTTGGTGGATTCGAACTGTCAACCTTTTGGTTAGCAGCCAACCATTAACCACTGTGCCATAACTTGACAGAAATGCAAAATTTTGGTGTCCATCAATATCTATGGAATCAGAAGCTCTGTGGCTGGGGCCCAGAAATCTGTGTTTTAACAAGTGCTCCAGGTGATTTCGATGCTAAAGTTTGCGAACCACTGTGCTAACTTGAAGGGAAGGAAACAGACGACAGGAGCTAGTGCTAACCTGTCTCGTGCATGGAACTGGAGGGCGTGAAGCTTTGAGTCATAAGCATTCGACCTGCCATCAGAGGATCTGGTTTGTTTCTCACAATGTTTCTTCATCTAGAAGATGGAGTATAATTCACAAGCCTTCTCTTTGCTGAAGGATGAGGAACCCGAGGCGCCTGCTTCTGACCCAGACTATGCCACCACGTCCACCTGAGCTCCCGGAAGTCGTCAGAAGGGAAAGGATGGAAGGAAACGGAGGACAGTGGGGAAGAGAAGAAATAACGAGGGCCCCGAACTCCACACTACCAAACTTTCCACCATGCGTATGCGAAGTCCTTTCTACCCGTCCCCAAACCCAGGTTTCCGCGCCCTGTCGCGTATCCCACTTCCGGGCTCCAGCCAATAGGAACCAGGACCACTGTGCCAGTCAGCGCCCTGCCGCTCTTTCCGGCGTTGTGCGTGCTGCCCTGGAGACTGGATACTCGAATTGAACTGTGGGAGACCCGGTACGAAGCTGTGAGAATTGACGGCGTCGGCCTCGCGGGTTGTATTTCTGGGCATCCATCAATAGGAACCAAAACCACTCAGCCAGTCAGAGCCCTGCGCTTCTTCCGGCGTTCTGCGTGCTGCCCTGGAGACGGGATAGCCGAATCCAAACGCGGAGGGGTGCTGGTCCCGCAAGGCTGGACGCTGCTTTCGCGAACTCCGCTCCGTTCCATTGCTTCTCACCCGGCCTTGGGCCGGTGGACTCTTCCTGAAGCGGGAGTCGGGGCGCGAGCATCCGCGGGAGACGCTGAGCCTGCGGGCCGCTTCTGCCAACCAAGTGACTAGGTACGCGGCCTTGGCGGTTTTAGCGGCCTCGAGTCCGGGTTCGTGTCTCCCTTGGCGGGCGCAGGAGAGACCGTAGACCTAGAAGGGCGTCGCACCCCTCTGCGGATCCCTTGTTGCCCGCGCTCTTTCCGTGTCGGCCTCTCGCTTGAGGGCTCTACTTTGCTTTTGTGTTTCAAAACTCTACACGACTTTCTTGGGGCTTTGGTTCAGGGCACACAGGATTCCTCTTCCAGAACTTGGGTGCAGGGGGGATTCGGGGCACTCGGGCAGCTGGGTTCGGGAGATGTGCTTTATGGACGCCCTAGCCTCGGGGTTTTATCTCTTAAAACTCAGGGAGATCTGTATCTTTACGGCCGCGTCACCTGGTGTCCATCGACGGGGCGAGGCAGGGAAAGTCGCCAGTTTGCTGGCCAGAGCTGCCTATAGGGGCTATTTACCGTACGGTTTAGAGCCTGCACTTTCGAGGTCAGTTCCAGCTCAAATCCCGCTGTAAAGTGCTGCTAGGAAGAGCGCTTGTTGATTGCTTAGCACAATGCCTGCCGCCTTTAAGTCTCCACTGCAGGTTGATTTGGTCAGCTGTTCTCAAAATTGAGCGTGCATCAAAGTTATCCGGAGGTCGTGTTAAAATATTGTTGGGTCCCACCCACAGAGTTTCTGATTCAGTGCGCCTGGAGATTGGTCCTGAGCATCTACATTTCTAACTGTTCCCCAGGTGATGCTGATGCTGCTGGTGGGAAAGTCAATGATCTTGGTGAAGGTGGGGATAGTTGAGGGAAGGGTTCTGGTCTTCACCCTCGTGACCCTGGTCTTTTTCAGTTTGTTAAATGTAGGACTTGCCCCCTGAGTCTTAAATGGCTTATCAGCATGTGTGTGTGATTTGCTTTGATTCTGGCTTCTCAGATGCTTCCTAGATGAACCTGTACATTAAAAGAACCTTAAAAGACGCCCCACGCTTTTGAAAACTAAGCTGTGGGGTTTGGGAATGCACACTTATGTGAGAAAATCTACTAACGAAAACGCAAGTAAATGATGACTTGTTATAAGAGAGGCTACCTTTAGGGAGCTGGAGGCGTTGTGATTGAGATGGGAGAACGGAAGGGGTTCAGGGGCTGGCAAAGTGGCTTCCTGACCTGAGTGGTGATTACAAGGGTGTCATAAGAATTTACTAAACTGTACATTTGTTTTCTGGGATTTTCTGTATTTTGTATTTTATTTACAATTAAAACGTTAACTTTACAACTGAAAGGTGAGGAATGTCCTTGGACTGAACCAATAGGAATCTTACAGTCTTGGAATTTCAAACTTGAAAGATAACTTAGAAAATCACCTGATCCAGTTCTTACTTTACTATAAGGAAACTGAGTTCCAGAGAGGGAAAGTGCTTGAAAGTAATAAACCACTCTTATCTAAGCAGACTTAACAATTGAAGCTGTTAATGACAGACTGAGTGTCCTAGTCAGATATAGCTACGAAGTAAAGGTTGAGGATGTAAGTTTGGCCTAAATCAAATTAAAATATTTGAGATTTTGTTTTTGCTTTGTGGCCTAAACCCTTGTTTTTAAAGAATCAGTCATTTGTGTTACATTAAAAACTTATTTCAACATCTTAGCCTGATGTATCTGAATGTAGCCAATTTGTGAACATTTAATTGTAGTTTCTGGTTATTTTTTTCTGAATTAATTTAGTAACCTCTCTGTCTTAACATAATCTTAATTTTGGTCATGTTACATAGTATGTGTTTTTAACCTCTTGCTACAGAATTACTCCTGTTAAAGGCTGCATTTCAGTGGGTCAGGAGTCAGAATTGGTTCTTTCTAGGAGTGGGTCTCAGGGAGAAGGGCACTACTTCTTGTTGGATGTAAAAGGAATTTTATAAAACTATCCATTAAACGAAATATTAAATTGTGCCTTTTTTGGCATTAGATTTATTTAAATTCAAAATTCTCACATCCTTTCCACTTAGAATTCTTAAAATTTTCATGTCAGTAGTATGATTACTTCTGATTTGATCCAGACACTAGTTTTATAATCCAAACAGCTAAATAATTACTGGCCTGTACATTTTTATAGTATTTTTTCCCATTTTGCAGTAAGTTTTAATTTTATTGGGAGATGGAATCATAGGATTAAAATTATTGCTAGACTCTTAGATTATTGGTTCCCTGTACCAAATTTGGGAAATTTTTTTTTCTTATTCACTGTACGGACAAGAACAATCTGAGAAGCAGCTTGTTTAGCTGCCTTGCCTGCAAGGTCGTTTCTCTTAATTTTCTCAGTCTTAATTATTCCTGAAAGTCAGAAGATTTGGGCACAGTTGACAGAGCCCTCAGTCATTTGTGGAGCCACGCCTCCAACATTTCAGGTGCAAGCAGCTCAGCTTGGTTGCCTGGTAACACAGAGGTGGTCTCGCTTATTTTATTTTTCCCCTTAAACTATTGCAGTGGCTCAATTATCTTGGTGGGGGCAGTTATCAGAGAATTCCAGAGAGGACTTATGAGGTCTCTTTCAAGGCCTCTTGATACAAGCCTGTCTCAAAGGGTTTGCTTTCAAAATTTTGATTTTAAGGTTGACATAAATATAAAAACCTTTGTGAGAACAAATTTATTTTCATCAATTCATGGGAATATTAAGACTATTTAATTTATATAAGCACTTATTTATCATTAAACCATTCAGAGTAAATTTTTTGAAGAAGTATATAATTTAATAATACCATCCAGAAAACCCATTGTCGTGGAGTTGATTACGACTCATAGTGACCCCATAGGACAGAGTAGACCTGCCCCATAGAGTTTCCAAGGAGCAGCTGGTGGGTTTGAACTGCCAACCTTTTGGTTGGCAGCTGAGGTCTTAACCACTGCGCCACCCAGGCTCCAATACCATCCAGAAGTAGGAAATTATCATATTTTCATAACCCTATCGTTATGCTTTATAGGATCCTTTAGAGAAACAATTTAGAGTAATTTTTCCTTTTTTTTTTAATGCCTTATTATACCAATTAAAATAAACAATATATCTTTTTTGGTGCACTTTTCAAATAGACTGATTTATGTCAAAGGCCCTCAAAGTAGTTATTAGACACTAGGTGCAAAAAACAGGGTTTTTTTGGGAAGAGAGAAGAACTAAGATTTTAGAAAGCTCCATGAAGAACATTAATCACGGCCTTCAACTTGATATAAGATAAAAACTTAGACACAAATGCTTTAGATGAAACAGAAAAACCACATAAATTCACCAGTTTGTGAGACAAGCTCAAAAACCAGGCTTCTCCAATACCACATAAGACAAACATATGGGGAGTAATCCTTTGGTAAGATCAACTCAAATCAACAGAAAAACAAGTCCTAGCTAAACTTATTAATTTGTTAGAGACTCAGATGGAGGGATATTAGTCCCCCTGACAAAACCTGAGCATTAAACAAAAGTTTCCTAGAGGAAAGAAAAGATAACAAATGAGAACTCATTTTCATAAAGCGATCATTGAAGTTTCAGACTACTTCATATATATTCAGCTTATAGTGTTTTTGAACACGAACCCCAAACCAGTGTCCTCGTAGGGGGAAATCCAGGCTCATTTATGAAGGATGTTAAGAATTAGGTTGAAACTTTAGTTTCCCAGAGTCAAATAAAATTCTTAGCAGTGAGCTGATCTTTTGGGATTCCTCCATAATAGCCATATGAAACCTGATTTCATTTCTTCTGAACCTAATTCATTCTGCCAGCTGGAGACGTAGTCTCTTGTGTTAAACATACTAGTTACTGTTATTGAAGGTACTCTCAGTATCCATATGACAGATTTTAAAGGACATTTTAGGCAGACGTTTCAAAGCAGGATATAAAAGAGAGGCAGTTGACAAAAGAGTAGAGGGTATAGGAGCAGAATTTTGGCACTGTAATTCTTCTGCCTACTCAGTTTAGATACTGTGTCCTACAAGGAGGTAATTTATTATCGTAATTTATTATCAAGCTGCCTTTTGGAAGCCTCCAAATACCAATCATAATCCTATTGAGGCTGTTTAACTTTGGAACCTCGTTTTTCTAATTTACTATGCAGAAAGATTAACTCAGAAAGTTCAAAAGATCCCCAAATTGGCCACTGATTTTATTTGAACGTGTTATATAACCTAAATATGTACTGAAAGCCTGAATGTGCGTGGACCTGAATGCGCACTTTAACCTGAATGTGCACTTTAAGACAAAATGAGTTCAAACTTAATGGACAGAGACATTGGCAGAGTTCTCCCAGAGTCTGATAGATTAGACCTGGGAATCCCATGGTAACAGCCACTCCAAACTTAATTTGGCAACGAACTCAGCAAAATGTTTAGAGTATAAACTGAAAATGAAAGCACAAAAAAGAAAACACAGATAACCAACAATCTTGAAGAACTCAGTGCAAGGACATGGAGTTTGAATTGAGAGGCTGTTTACCTGGCGTGGCTCCTGGGAACTGGGCAGACGAGAGGGCTTCAAGGGGCCTGCACTTGGTACCGGAGCTCTGAAACCTCGATGTCCTGGGGACTGCTGGAGATAAGCCTTCAAATTCTATGTAGTCTGACACCATTGAATGTCAAAGAGTAAAAACTCGTACTCTGTTAAAATAAAAGCAAGGAGACTTATTGAAGGTTTTAAAACAGTCTGGACTGGAGAAATGTCTGATCTCACAAAGTGAGACAAATCTCCCAAGAAGGGGTGGAAAAAAAGTACCTTTATGTGGTAAAAATCAGGATCTAACAGTGCAAAATCTATGATTGGCGCTCGATGAGGTAAAGTAGTTGGAGGCAGTGGGATATCTTCAAATGGGGAACTGGAGGCGATTGGTTATATAGGATAATTGCAGAAGCAGTGACTATAGGAAACAGTTTCTCATTGTGGTTAAGCTAAGGATAAGGGAAGAATGTTCCTTTGAGGGTCCTGATGCCCTTAAACTTACCAGGCATGTCCAGAGCCAACTGCCCTCAAGAAATATATTGTTCCCTTTGCTATTTTTTAAACCAAATGTCATTGGGAAGAAATACTTTGTAATCATCTTGTGACCACAAAGGTCACTGAATGTTAGAGAAGTTAGCAGACATTAGGATGGAGTCTGGGTTCAGACCCAGACTAGCCGTTTTACTAGGATCAAGTGCTTTTGTTTTGGGGGCTCCTACACCCCCCCAAAAGAAATGCTACACCCATTAACTTAGAGCTTTTTTACATTTTTGTTTCAAAAGGATGTTACTTTCAATTTCATTTAGAAACATTAAACCATTTATAAAGAGGAAATTTTACTTCTTGAACAATTTCTGGTACATTTTCTATAGTCTAGCATATATAATCCTTCCAAAGAGATGCCAATTTACGAATGATTGTAAATATTTTAATTGTATTTATATACTTAATTGTATTTAATTATATATTATATAATACATAATATTATATATTATATTTGCTTATGATACTACAACTGTTTTCCTTCTACATAAAATCTAGTCTAATAAAAGACTACACCAGACCCTCGTTCACTTATTAAAATTAAAAAGTTACGTTGGCCAAGAAAATGAATTCATTTAACTGGTTATATTCTTGATGAAGAATAAAGTGGTTGGTATAAAAAAGTTTTTTTGTTTTTTTTTTGATTTAGGACAGAAATCAGCAAACTTTCTATAAAGGGCAAGATAGTAAATATTTTAGGGTTTCCTCAGGCCATATGATCTATGCAGCAATTACTCACCTCTACCATTATAGCCCGAAAGCAGCCATAGACAACATACAAATGAATGTGTGACTGTGTTCCAATAAAACTTTATTTACAAAAACAGGCAGCAGGCTGGATTTGCCCATGAGCTGGTAATTTGCCGACCCTGACTGAATTGACTCTTACAGTTTTTGTGGTTTAGAGGGAAATGTTATCATTCTGTATTTGTTTATAAAGAATTTTCACATACATTGTCTCAAATGCTTGTCATAATTTGTGAGGTGTAGGTGGGGCATATATTATCCCATCATATAGAAGTTGACTCAGTGTGCTTTCCATTGTTCCAAGTTTCCATTGTAACAAAGTAAAAAAGGTATCACGATACATTGGCTGAAATTTCATTCATATCCTGATTTTGATACATGTGATAGTTGGAAACAGAGCTGTTAATTTCATTATTGTTGAAAGATCTTAATGACAGGAAGTTGAATATTGGTTTGTGAATTCTTCTTTTGACGTATTCTTCCTTTCACTTTGTTCATCCTACAAAAAGAAAGACACTGGTATTCAGTACTTGAAGGTGAATTTTCTGAATTTGTAGAATCATTAGATGTATTTATATATTAAATATTTTAGGGTAATCGTGCAGTTAGGATGCATTTATAAATGCCATTTTTGCTTACTTTTCAGGAGCTAGAGATGCTATTAGGTTGTCACTTCACTGTGTGTGAGAAGTCGACCCAGAGATGGAAAACTTCATTCTATATGAGGAGATTGGCAGAGGAAGCAAGACGGTTGTCTATAAAGGGCGGCGAAAGGGAACAATCAATTTTGTGGCTATTCTTTGTACTGATAAGTGCAAAAGACCTGAAATAACCAATTGGGTGAGTCAAGTGTTTTTCCTTCTATCTGGGGAATGAAAGAGCTATGCTCAGGTAGAAAAAGTAGCATGTAAACAGAGGTCATTGATGTCACCATAGCAGACGCCACATCTTTAATCTGGAATGGGTGACCTATATGTTCAGTGCCACCAGTCCTGAAAAGACTAATACACATACTCAAGTAATCAGTAACTTAGGGTTTTTTGTTTTGTTTTATTAAGAGTCAGGGAAAATACATTTTACATTAGATCATTTGCTATCTAAAATTTAGCGTGTGAATATGTAGCTTCTGAAGGAAGGACACTGAGTGAGAGTGACTTGGGTTTGAAGTAGCCATGCTACTTTATAGCCCCGGGTTTTGGACCATACCTCCCTTCTAGGGTTGTGAGGACTAAATAAGATAAATATACATAAAGCATCTAGCATAGTGCCTAGCACTTAGTTAACACTGTCTTTCATGATGGCTCTTATTATATCATAGCCACTAATGGAACAAAAAATGCATAGAGAATAAGGAGAGGGTTGGGAAGAGGCAGGTGGGAACATACATGGGAAAGAAGGCCAGGGGAGTGTTAACTTGATAGGGAAATGCCACAGTCTTTTGTCAGCTTTATTCCTGATTCGTAGAGTCCAGTGAAGCCTCTGCTTTCTCTAAGATTCATCCACTCCCTTTTACAACAAAGATGTATTATCTACTATATTAGGGGATAGAAGAGTCTATCAGAGGCAGATCCTGTCCTTGTGAGTTTATGGTCTAGTAATAAAGGCAAGATAGGGAATCAAGGCATGTACGTGCTTTCCATTCAAAGACTCGTCTAAATCCCTGCCTTCTAGGTCTCTTAGCTCTTGGAAACTCCTGAATCTCAGACCTAGCAGAAGTATTCCTGCCGTTTCTTCTTCACAGAAGTTCATCCTTGGCTACCGTTAATTGAGCACCCAAATGTTCCAGCCATTGTGCTGAGTGCATTCCCTGCCTATGGTGTCAGTATGATTATCCTGATCTGCAGCTGAGGCAGATCTTTCTGACCACAGTGCTCATGTCTCCTCACCAGTTAAGGGGGCCAGCAGAAGTAGACCAAGGAAACATTACAAACAATAGGTTGGACTCCATTGCCTCCCATCTCCTCTTCTCTGCATAGCATTTACCATCATGTTCCCACTGACACCTCCCAGCAACACCTTGACATCCTCTTTGGTACTTTCCCTTGCTTTGGACCTTTTATAACTGCTGTTTCCATTGTCATAATTTACCTGTCCTTTGTTCTTGTCTCTCAGGACATTGCTGGGTGATGTGACTATCTAATAAACTCATTTTTGTTAACGTGTCATTACCTTTCTGGGATTACAGTTAGATGGCATTTTGAAATCCATTAATGGCTTAAATCAGGGAGGTGAGTAATAGAGAATTTTCAGAGACAGTGGCAGAGCCACTGGGGGAGAAATTTTGAGGCAGGAGGCCTTGTGATACTTTTCAAATTTATCATGAAGTTAGCCATTTATCCTTCTTATATCTGAGGCCACTCAGGATTCAGAACGTATGCCACCCTCCTCTATAAAACTTAACCCTGAATAAATCATTTGAATCTTTGACCACAACAAGGAAGCCTGATCAGAACAGGGAAACCATCTTGCCATGAGAGTGCAGCTTGTGACACACACCATAAATACTGGATGTGACGGCAGATGTCAGAATCCCAGTGAAAATACCACTGAGATAGCACACTAAAGCTTTTGAAATTATAGCAAGTACCGTTGAGAAATATGCCAGGTACCAAGAGAACAAGTGGATGTGTGTAATCTAGTGCAGGGACTCCAAGGAGGTCTTGGGGTCCTAGGCACACCTGAGTGGCATTCTGAGCTGTGGCTTAACTAACTAGCTGAGCAAGCTTGGTAAAGTGGATGAGCTTCTTTAAGCCTCAGTTTCTTCTGTCTTTAAAATGGGAAAATAATAGTACCCACCTTAGGGTCTGAGATTTAATATGATAATCCATGCAAAGCTCTGTGACTTATCCCACTCGTGGTGTGATTAATTACTTTTGTGTGTGGCCTTTCTAGCCATGGTCTTGTGACTCCCACCCAGGTGATTGGGTGGAGCTGTGCAAATAAGGTAATTGTGGCCCATTGAGGGGATTGGTCAGTTTTGCCTTAAAAGAGAGCCCACCACCACCACAGAAGCAGAGACTGATAACAGAGACCCGTAGGAGATGGCGCAGTGGGCTTCTTGGCCCACCAAGTGAGAAAGCTGAGTGCCTTTGGGGAGAGACTGAGGGCCAGGGAGAAATTTACACCTGATCCACAAATTTGGGACTTGCCAGCCTTCACGGCCGTGTGAGCCATTTCCTTTATATGGTTCATGAGTTCTGTGAGCTGTTGCAGCAAATTAAGGAACCCAAAGACAGGAGGGAGAGTACTGAGGTGAGAAGGAGTAGTTGATGTTAGAGATGATGGAGTGGTACAGCAGTTTGGAAAACTTAGACGTTTGGGACATCTTTAATCTCTGTCTCATAGGAACCAGCTTTGTGCTGATCCTTACAAAAGAAATTATTTGTTTACTACATTAATCATTACCCTTCGTTCCCTGAGTCCGTCAAGAATCAACTCTAATTTCCCCTTTTCTCTCAGGTCTTCCCTAATCCCCTCAGAGCCCTCCCTGGTGTTTCCACAGCACCTGGACTCTGGGCTCATATTTGAAATACTGAAACTCTTCCATACTGGTTGTAAATAATTGGTGCTTCCAGTTGCTGGGTACCTTCCTGGACTGCCCTAGCCTGTTCCCTGAGACCCCTGATCTCACCCCCAATCGCTCAGCAATTGGAAGGTTAACTCCTGGCACTGCAGGAGGCCTTTAGCTCTCTGGCTAGTGTCCATGCCTGTGGTTGGCCAGTTACATAATTTGAACATCATCCCTACTTGTACATCCTCCCGTGTTAGCATTTATCATATTGCATTGTGTTTCTGTGCCCATGTCAGGCTCTCCCACTGAGCTCTGAGCTCACTGAGGGCAAAGACCCTGTTTAACTCACTTGTTCACTTAACAGGTATTTATTGAGTGCCTGCTGTGTACCCGACACCGTTCTGGGTACTGAGGAGTTAGCAGTGAAGGAGACAAAATCCCTGCCCTCAGGAAGCTTCCATTTTAGTTGGGGGAGGCCTACAGTAAAAGACAGATTATTAGTGTTAGTCATAGTGAAGAAAAATAAGGCAGAATACAGTGGGAAGAGAGTGATGAAGGCTGTCATATAGTCAGGGTAGTCAGAGGAATTCTTTCTGAGCAGGTGAAATGTGGGCAGAGACCTGAAGGAGGTGAGGCAGTGAGTCAGGATGGTATCTGAGGTTTGGGGCAGGGAGCATTCCAGGCAGAAGGTAACAGAGCATGTGTGAAGGTTCTCAGGCTGGAGCAAGCTTGGCATGTGAGGAACAGTAACATAGCGGGTGAAGGGTAAGATGGCCAAGAGCCAAAGGCTTTAGGGCCATGTAGGCTGAGGCAAGGGCATTGCAGGGTTTTCAGAAGGGGAGTGGCAGGCTCTTGTGTAGATTCTGTCTGGCTGCTGTGTAGAGAAGAGATTGTGGGAGATCAAGAGTGGAATAAGGGGACTAGTAAGGAGGCTAATGTAATAAGCGAGAAATGGCGGTGACTTGGACTAGGATGGTTACAGGAGGGTTGGTGAGAAGTCGTTTAGGGTATGTTTGTTTATTAGCATTATTTATTTTGGGTCAGTTAAAATTTTCTTTCAAAGGTTATGTTTTATCCAATGAATCTTATCAAGATAATAGTTTATGTACAATAAAATGCACAGATCTTCAGTGTACAGTTAAACTGTATACATTCATATAACCAGCATCCAAATCAAGATATAGAAAATTTCTGTCCTTCCTGAAAGTGCCTTTCAGATGTCATCTTCTTCAATTCCCTGGAAGTAACCACTCTCATTTTTATCACCGTAGATTAGTTTCGCAGGTTCTTGAACCTCAAATAAATGGAATTATATGTTATTTACTCTTTTGTGTTTCACTTACTTTGCTTAAGACCATGTTAAAAACAAAGCTATTTGCAAGTATTATATTATAGTTTGTTCCTTTATTGCTGAAGTTTTCCATTTCGAGTAAATTAGTTAAAGTAAAATATACTTACAAAAAAAATTTCAAATCGTAATTGTGTGCTCAGATTTTCATAAACTGAACATATAACCAGCACCCACTCACAAGAAGTGTCCTGGAAGCTCCCTTCCAATCCCACATGCCCTCAAGGGTAATCATTATCTTGAATTCTAACACTACAGAGAAGTTTTGCTGGTCTTGAACTTTATGTGAATGGAGAGTCTGGATACATCTGTAAAGTAGAGCTGATAGCTTTGCTGATGGATTGGGTATGAGGTGTGAGAGAGAAGTCAAGGATTATGGCAAGGTTTTTGGCCTAGGTGACTGGATGGATGACGATGCCACCTACTAAGAGAGGAAGGCCTGGAAGAGGGATGGATTTGGGTATTTTAAGTTTGAGGTGCGTATTGGACATCCAAGTGGATATGTAAAGAAGATACTTGAATTTTTGAGTCTGCAGTTTAGGGGGCAGTTCAGGGCTGAAGATGTAAATTTGAGAATCATTAGCGTGAGAGAAGATGGAAGAGGAAGTGAGGACTGAGCCCTTTGTTATCATGTAGAGAATGTAAAGAGAAGGACCTAGCAAAGGAGAAAGAGAGGGAGCACCCAGTGAGAGAAGAGCCTGGAGAGTGTGGGGTAACTTACTGTGGATTGGCTTGTTCAATACCCATCTGAGCCCATTCTGGCAGGCTTTCCTGTTCTGTAGGTCTGGGAAGCTAAAAACTGCATTTCCCAGACTCCTTTGCAGCTAGAGTTGTAGATGTTATTCTGATTCCATTAGTTAGAAGCAAAATCCTTTAAAACTTTGATTCCAGGCTGATTTAAGTGATCAGGAAAACAGGCCCCAAGGCATCCATTTGCTCTTACAGATAGAGATAGAGGCAGCCTTCTTCTGGAGGTGGCAGCTCCTTCTGATTTGGCAACTTCCTAGCGGTGGAAGAGGCAATACATTTTTGGAGCTGACAGCTGTGATGGTGGGTTCCTGGTTTTTGCGGTGTCCTGGTGGCAGAAGTTCCTGGTTTTTGCAGTGTCCTGGTGGTGGCAGAGGTTCCTGGTTTTTGCGGTGTCCTCATGGTGGCAGAGGTTCCTGGTTTTTGCGGTGTCCTGGTGGTGGCAGAGGTAGGCATTCCCTTGGTGGCTTAGTTTTATGGTGTGCTTTTGGGAATTGTTTCTGGAAATTTGGCCCAGAGTCTGTTTCTTAGAACATTATTGAAAATTCTGTGAGTTTTCTGTTCTCCTTAGAAATCCTTTTGTAGCTAGAGTGGATTCTGTTTCCTGCAACTAAAAATACTGAGCAAAATCTGTGGCATCATGGAAGTCAAGTGGAGAAAGCGGAGAAGGGAGAAATTAAATTGCAGCTGATAAGGTGAGGACTGAGGATTTGGCAATGAAGAGAGGTCATTGATAACCTTGAAGAGAGTGGTTCAGTGAAGCGTTGAGGAGGAAAACCTGAATTGCATTGGGTGTAAGAGGGGATGGGACGAGAGAAGTAGCAGAGAAATGAGATGATAGCTGGATAGGGATATAAGGCTAAGACAGGAAAAGTTATTAGGAGCTACATCTGACCCCTGAAAAGAAACCTAAAATTACGTGGCTTAAAGTAGGTGTTCCCAGAATGTACCATGTTCCATTTTAAAACTAGAAGCTCTGCATTTCTCACAGATTGTAGGCCCATTAGTTCATGTTGAGTGACAGTAGAATCTGTACATGTTTTTTTTTTTTTTTTTAAATAGAACCAGAAAACGAGGATACCCAAAGCACTTTGGCAATTGTTAGTAATCTTGAGTCTTGATGGTTTACTAATAAGGAACACATTTTTGTGGTTTTAATTTCCAGTTTTAATAAGGTTTTCAAGTGAGAAATTAAAAATCCCTGAAGCAACTTAGTATTTTTGAATTAACTTACAGGGTTTTGCATCTTTATCACTGAATTTTGAGTTAGCTTTTTTTGGCACGGGTATTCTTATGATCTAATGGAAGCGTACGTTTTGAGATCAGTGTGTTTATTTGTAATGATTTGCCTTTTAATGATCTGGTTGAACTGATGATGCTAGGATTCACCAGGAATATTTTAAAAAAGAGGAATGTAGATTTTCTCTGAGAGTTTTTTTTAAATATAAAAGTAATAAACGTGCTCATTATAGAAAATTTGGCAATATGGAAGAATGGATAGGAGGAACAAACAGCACCATTGTTTTATCACTTTAAAATTATATCTTCTTTCCTGGTTAGGAAAGTAGTGTGTATTTAGTACAGAAAATAGGAGAATGGGGGAAAACAGAAAGAACATAAAAACATCAGTAACTCCACCATTAACAGCAGATATTTTGGTGTATCCCTTCTAGTCATTTTCCTATGAATAATTTTTTTTGCAATGCTGCATGTACATGTAAGTATTTTTAAGATCATTTTAAAGACCATGCATTATATTATTAGCATTTCTCCATGTTATAAGCCTTCAAAATCATCATTTTAGATGTCTGTGTACAATTCTACCATTTTGTTACCCATTTCCCAATTGTATATTTAGGTGTTCCTTAGTAGATGCAAGAGTTTTAGAAACTTTTTCTTAAGAGTGAATACTGTGTGTTTTTATAGGTCCGTCTCACTCATGAAATTAAACACAAGAATATTGTAACTTTTCATGAATGGTATGAAACCAGCAATCATCTCTGGCTAGTAGTGGAACTCTGCACAGGTAAGAGTGTGTAACAAGTGCTGGGAATGTAGCTAACCACTTCATATAGTTTTGAAAAAAAATATGGTGTAGGTTTTTTAAAAATTTTCTTTTATATTCTGTTACAAATACATTGTAGGGTTGATATTATTTACTAACTTAAAATCTTTTGTTTGATGGATATTTCAGAAAGGCAAAGATAAAAGATGTTTAGTAAGAGGAAGACATGTAAAATTCAAATTGGAGTTTACTTTGGTATAAAATATTACCTAATCACCCACATAAATATTTGGAAATAGTTTTAAGCGATGACTAATTTCTCAAACAAGTTTTTCCAATAAATTGAAACCAATATTTTAGGTCAATTAGCTACTAATTAATTGATTTATGGAAAGACACCAGTAACTCCACCAATAACAGCAGTTATTTTGGTTATAATATAAAAAGTTACAATCTTTTTGTTTTTATGAAAAGGAGCTTGCTCTTCATAAAAGCATAAAACCTGTTGCCATCGAGTCGATTCCGACTCATAGCAACTCTGTAGGATAGGACAGAGTAGAACTGCCCCACAGGGCTTCCAAGGAGCAGCTGATGGATTTGAACTGCTGACCTTTTGGTTAGCAGCCAAGCTTTTAACCCCTGTGCCACCAGCGCTCCACATAAAAACATAAGCCATGTAGAAAAGTATAAACATGAACCAACAAATACCACCACCCAGCAGTAATTAGAGATAACATGTTTCAGATCTCATTTTGTAAAACTTTCTAGGACTGTATATATACAGGGAGAAAGACAGATACGTGCCTGAATATGTAGATATTATCTGGACTTTTAGTGTCAGTGTCTTCAATGTTTAATGGAAAAAAATGTAGTAAGTACCGTCATTAGTGTTCTTTTCAGACACTGAGTGATAATCATCATTATTAACATATATTGTGATTGTTACTATGAATCTTACCTATTGGCACTTAGAATTTATAAAATTTAATCATAAAAGGGGTTACATGGATTAAAAGCTTGTTTTGCATTTTGTTTTTCTCAGTTAAAAGGAGGGATTATGGTTCAATTGGAGCCCTGGTGGCACAGTGGTGAAGAGCTCAGGCTACTAACCAAAAGACTGGCAGTTCAAATCCACCAGCCGCTCCTTGAAATGCTATGGGGTAGTTCTGCTCTGTCCTGTAGGGTCATTATGAGTTGGCATTGACTTGATGGCAGTGGGTTATGGTTGAATTACTTCTGTAGATGTACACACTGGTGAGGTGATCAGGGGACATTCCCAGTACTGCTTTTGCTTCAGTTGTCGTTTCTGACCTCTGACCAGGTGTAGTATCCTACCTCTAAATTATGCCGGTGGTTGGAATGGTTCCTCACCCACCAAAATAAAATAAACTCCAAAATAGCTCTGACCTTCATCACAGTAACTCTGATTGAATTTTCAGATACCAGCTGAGACTTCAGTTTGTCTGAACTTGACTCCTGTTATAAATCTTGATCCTTTAAAAAAAAGTTTGTTTCTGGCATTGCGGTGCAATGAATTCTCTTATTTGGCCCTTGTTGTTGGTTTTTGGAAAAATAACCTTAGGGGGTTTCCTAAGTAATGAAGATGTATGAGTACACCTGAGAAATTATTGGGTGCCCGTTTGGCTAGGGAGCCCACCTGGTAACCCTAATGAGCAGGTGGACTGACTGATAAAAGCCCTGGAATGCAGGGGCTCAAGGCTTTTCTGCTCTGACAGCTGTCCTGGTTGGTGAAGGGAGAGATGTGCTTCCCCCTGGGACAATGGGGACCCTTGCAGACGTTGCCTGTGTACCTTTTCCTGACGTTGGTATCCTTTTACCCTTGAGTTGTATCCGTTTACCCTAATAAACCACGTAACAGTAAGTATAGTTCATGAGCTCTGTGAGACTTAGAGCGAATTATCAAACCCAGCAAGAGAGTGCCATTGACAGGGGCGGAGGTGGTGTCAGAGATGATGCAGAAGTGGGATAGTGGAGATTGTATTAGTTGCCACATCTTAGGGATTGGACTCCTGGACGTCCTTATTGGAGAAAGCACTTAGACCATAGAGATGTGATTGGGACCTTGGAAGAATATAGGAGAAGTCACAATATGCCTGCTTTTGGCCTTTCATTCATGTTGTGTGCTAAAGGTTGTGATTTTCTGTTATGGGAAGGCATATCTTTTTTGCTATGCAGTATTTTGCAGAACTTGATTTAACTTTGCACATGAGTAAATGTGACAGTATTTTGCATAGTGTGATGTAAGTGCACAGCTTTGGTTAGTATTGAATATGTAGTTTTGCAGCTATTAATTTCCTGAGGGATCCAGAGTGAGAAGTTACAGCCCAGAGTGGTTATCTTTTCATCCCAGCTGAGTGCTTATTGACCATTCTTCTAGACAGACCAGTCTTTGGCCTGGAGATGGCTCTGGAGTATGGACAGAGACTTCTGCTATGGCATTTGGACCATTGTGTTCTCTCACCTGTGTGTTTCCCCTGCCCGGTTGTCAGGTTTACTGACTTGATCTTTTTTTAATGCTCAGTATCTCCCAGCATGAAACCTCCCGGAGGCATTCGGTAATATTGGTGGATTGAAACGGGTGATTTTAATCAACTCATTGCAGGTGGTTCCTTAGAAATGGTTATTGCTCAAGATGAAAGCCTCCCAGAAGATGTTGTGAGAGAATTTGGAATTGACCTGATGACTGGATTACATCACCTTCATAAACTTGGAATTCTCTTTTGTGATATTTCTCCTGGGAAGGTAATTAATGAAGATTTTGATTTCCTAACTGCTTGTATCTCAATTTATAGTGCTTTCTCAGTTTATAGTGTTTTTGTTTTTAGATGAAGTTTTGGTACACAGCATCTTGAAATTAAATTACCTTTTTTATTTTTCAGAAAAGGAAACATAGTACTCTATTTTAGTTACCTATTGAAATAGCTTTTAGAATGTCAAGAGTCTCCCCTCCTTTCAGAGCTCCTTGAGTAATTTCTTATTGTTGCTGCTAAAGTATATTGTGAATATGGGCCCAATTGGTCTATAAAATAAGATGCTATTAGCTCTTAAAATGTAGTACACAGTTAATTATGAAGCAAATAAGAATTTTAGTTTGGTAATGGTACTTTTTGGTTATATAACTATGATTTCTGATATTATGGATCAAATGTATTCTTTTTCAGTAAAAGTATTTATCCATAACTAAATGTGCTTCAGTGTAGTAGAGTCATGAAACCTGCTTAGTTTCTGAGTCACAATCAGAGCTGACACTTAGAAGCTGTGTGACCCTGGACAAGTTACCCTGCTTCTCTGTGCCTTAGTTCCTTTGTCTGTGAAATGGATATAAATATTTTCAGGGTGGTTGTGAGGGTTAAATATTACAGTTGGGTTAAGTTTCTAGGATACATTTTTGTATGTTATGTGTTTTCAATCAATGGCACTGATTATTATTTTTATAAGTACGTACTCTTAGAAAGTGTACTCATTACTGGTTTCAGTTTTTGTTTCTTCTCATTTGTTAATGTATGAACAATTAAATATTCCTTTGTTTAAATTTATAAGCCACCTGTATGGGATTATTAAACCAAAAAAAGAAAAAAACCTCCATGAAAACCTTACTTAATAAAAGTTCTTGTTTGATATATTTATATGCTTGTCTGCTTTAACTTGATCATAAGATAGTATAGTAGCTATTTTCTGTTTGGTTCTACTTGAAAAATTATGAATAAACTTTATAGTTTCAGAGAAAGATACCTATATGTCATTCTTGATTTCCATTGTTTATTTTGCCATTTCATTAGAGCAGTAGTCAGCAGATTTTTCGTATAAAAGGCCAGATAGTAAATATTTGAGGCTTCATGGGCCTTGCTGCAACCAAAACATTTAACTGTCATAGTGCTGAAAGCAACTATAGACAGTATGTAAACATATGGTGGCTGTTTTCCAATACAACTGTATTTATCGCATTGAGATCTGAATTTCTTTATAATTTTCACATGTAAAGAAATTTTATTTTTCGTTTGATTTTATTTCAGCCACTTAGAATGTAAAAACTGTAATAGCTCACAGCTATACAAAAACAGATGGTGACCCAGATTGGGTCCAGAGGCTGTAGTTTGCTTTATCAGAGTTGTCAGAGTTGGTTTTTAACGGGTAAGGAGCCGTGGTGGCACAGTGGTTAAGCACTCGGCTGCTAACCAAAAGGTTGGTGGTTTGAACCCACCAACTACTCTGTGGGAGAAAGATGTAGCAGTCTGCTTCTTTAAAGATTACAGCCTTGGAAACCCTATGAGTTATTTCTACTCTGTCCTATAGGGTTGCTGTGAGTCTGAATCCGCTTGACGGCAATGTATATAAGGATCGTTAGGAGCCCTGGTGGTGCAGTGGTTAAACGCTCGGCTACTAACTGATGTCGGAGGTTCGAACCCCCCAGCTGCTCCGTGGCAGAAAGACGTGGCAGCCTTGGAGACCCTGCGTGGTAGTTCGACTCTGTCCTGTAGGGTCTCTGTGAGTCAACTCGACAGCAACGAGCCTGGTTTTTTGGTTTTAAGGAGCGCTAAAATTGGCTGCTTATAATCTAGGGAATTTGGACTGATGTATAATGTAGCTTTTGCTCTAGAATAAAGGTTAGGAAAGGTTGGGCAGGATGCCTGTTTTGTAAATTATGTTTTATTGTCACATAGCCACAGCCACTTACATGTTGGTAGTGGCTGCTCTTGTGTAATAATGGCAGAGTTGAGTAGTTGAGACACAGGATGCATTGCCTGAACGTCTAAAATACTTATCTCTCTAGCCCTTAAAGAAAAAAAGTTTACTGACCCCTACCAGTGGTTCTCAAAGTATGTACCCCACATCAGCAGCATCAGCATTACCTGGGTCTTGTTAGACATGCATGTTCTTGGGCCCTACCCCAGACCTATTGATTGAGAAACCTAGGGTTTCTAAAGCCCAGTAATCTGTGCTTCAAGTCAGTCAGGGTATTCTGATGCCTAAAACAGTTTAAAAACCATGGTTATAGACTCACAGATACCCTAAAGCATTTGTGACTAGAAGGGTAAACTTTAAATTGCTTTTTTTAAAAAAAAGCCACCTGACCCATTGCAACTGCCTGGGAAGATTTTTAAGGACTGGAGTCAAAGATGAAAGTAAACACTGTGGTTCCTGGTATGGTTTCAACAAGCAACAGATAACTTTCGGTTGCAGATTAGCAGACTTGAACACTTAACCTTGTGCTCCCAAAATCAAACCCACTGCCGTCAAGTTGATTCCAGCTCTTAGCGACCCCATAGGCTTTCCAAGGCTGTAAATTTCTAGGGAAGCAGACTGCCACATCTTTCTCCAGTTGAGCTGCTGGTGGTTCCATGCTAGTTAACTGTTAAAAGCCCTTTACGGTATAATCTCATTTAACTCTTTAGTTATGCCAAATTTTAATTAAAAAAAATTTTTTTTTGGATGACGTGTTTTCAGTATTGGAATGCATGCCTACGAATTGAGTGTGTTTAAATTTTTGGTTGGTAATATAGATTTTGAGAAATATGATCTGGTAATACAAGCCACCAATAAGGCGAGTGGCACTCCGGCGCCACCCATCTGTGGTATGACAGTATAGCAGTAAGAACTAAATAGCTTATTGCAGGCCCCTTTCCATTAAGTTACATGGGGAACCTCTGGTTTTATAAAAATGACACAGAAAACCCAAACAAACCCATGAGGGCTCCCTAAATATCACACAGGAAAACCATAATTATGCTTGTAAGCCTTATTTCACAGAAATAAAGCGAAAAAAGGCAAAAGTTTACAAAACTAACACATCCAGGAAGCATCACCTAATAGAATGCTCAACCTACACAAGAACGAGGCTCCAACTCCTGTCTGCCGAACTTCACGCATTTCAAAAGGGACTCACCTTGACGTTCAATGCGTTAGAACCGGAATAATCTACCTGTGAGGTCCAGAGGTATAAAAAATGGCCAGTATACCGTTAAACCAATATTAATCCATCCAACAGTCTGAAGAGTTAGTTAGGCATTATTTTTCCCCATTTTACAGGTAAAGATACTGGGGCTTAGAAAGTAAATTCTCTAGGGCCAGATAACTAGTTAATGGTGGATCTGGGGCTCAAACCCAGGCCTCTTACTTTAAAACCCTGGCTTTAATCCTACATTATACTTTCTCCCTTGATTAAACCATGCCTTGGGGCAGGTGGATTTGCAAAAGGTTGGCAAGTACAGATTGTTTTCATTTAGATTGTTCTTTCTATCTTTTCCCATAGCCTAGGGTTTTCCTCTGGTTATATTGGTGTTTCACTATATACATCTCAGAATGGACAATTTAATTTTATTTTGATTGTATTATTCAAGTATTGGATTTATTTTTCTGTAGCTTTTTAAAAAATTGCAAGTGTTTAATTTTCTGATTTGTAGTGAAGCAATAGAGCCAATGCTAAAAATTTTTTAGTGCTATCGTAAGGGGCACTGATGGAAATGCAAATTGAATTGAATTCGTTTCTGAAGACATTTAATTTTTAATCTCTTAGATACTATTAGAAGGACCTGGCACACTGAAGTTTAGCAATTTTTGCTTGGCAAAAGTGGAAGGTGAAAATTTGGAAGACTTCTTTGCTCTGGTGGCAGCAGAAGAAGGAGGTGGTGATGGTGGGGAAGGTGGCCTGAAGAAAAACATGAAAAGTAGAGTTAAAGGTAGGTGGACTTGGGAAGCTTAGAAATAATGACTCTAGCTGTGGGCTACCCAGGTCGCATGTTCAGGAGATAATGTTGATCTTCTGTTTTGCCAGTCAAATAATTTATTGAAAATAATAATACCAAGATAAGTCTGGATTAAAAAAACAAACGAAAAGTTTCTGTTGAATTGATTTCAACTCATGGCGACCCCATGCGTGTCAGAGTAGAACTGTGCTCCACAGGGTTTTTACTGGCTGATTTTTCAGAAGTAGATCGCCAGGCCCTTCTTCTGAGGCACCACTGGGTGAACTCAGACCTCCAGCATTTTGGTTAGCAGCTGAGCATGTTAACCATTTATACCACTCAGGGACTTCCAAGTTTGGATATGGGTTTGGCTGTGTCCATGACCTAAAGTTGTCTGTGTGGATCTAACACTCTCTTAGGCATAGGGACCTCAGACAAAACCTGTATCTTGTCCTTAGCGCCATATTTCACTGACCACTTATTAGAACCTAGGGCAGGAGTTTTTGTTTCGTTTCCTGTTGTATTCTCAGCTCTCAGAACAGCCTGGCACACACCAGTATCTCAGTAAATAATTTGTTCAACATTGCCGAATAGCTGATATTCCGTGATTAAGGCAAATTTCTAGAAGTGCATTCTTGGCTGGTAGTTTTGACAGTGGGATGAGGTCCTGGGGTGTTGGTGGCTGAAGTGATATTTCTAATAGCGGGCCTTTTCGGGGAAGTGGTAAAGATTTTTTCTTAAGTTCCCTGTGCTTGAAGCTCTGTGATACTCCAGGTGCTGATGGTTAGATTGGGTATTGAAGAAGGCACTACAGGAGAGGACTTGGTAGTCATGTGGTACAAGGATGAGAGGGTTGGGGTTAAGGAACAGGGAGGAGCAGGTTAACTGTAGGCACCATAAATATGACCAAATAAAATTTAGCTTTTAGGACCAGCCTAAAAATTTCATGCCCAAGAAGAAAGCTTTTAGGGTCCTCAGCTATCTTCCTGACCTGCATTTTAGGAAAATGACTGTTGTGGATTATGTTAGCAGAATCATAAGTTCTGGATTATTATTTATAATTTTATTTATAGAAAACAAGGAAGGGGGCATATTTCAGGACTGCTTATTTGAAACATTCCCCTTCAGCGAGTTGTGTTTTTGGGGAAGTAGGTCTGAGGTGCCGGCAGCCATGCTTAGTTACTTCTGAGCCTTAATCTGAGCACATTCCCCACGATGGGGCAGGTTAGCCTCTTCGACCAGGGGTGGGGGACGCCCTCATAACCAGCAGGGCAAAGCCATCGCTGACTTTCGGGGATCACTCATGTCACAGACAGCTCACTGTCATATCCTGTTGGTATATAGATAAAAGTAACACCACTTCTGTTTCCGTAGACTACATGTGTTTTTGAGAATTTACAGTCTTAAGTGTGGCAATGAGCAAGGCTGAGAAAATAGTTGGCTTTGACATATGTGAGTGGCTGGGTGTTGTGGGATTGATGATTAGTGTATAGCCATATAGAATCTGTTAACATTGATGCTGGTGTGAGACACTTAACACATAAAAGAAAAAACTTCGGTTGGGCTGCATAGAGGTACTATTGCAAAGAACACTAGATTTCTAATAACAACACCTCGTTTCTAGTCCTGGCTTCACTTCTCACTGTGTAACCTGAGACTAATGTCATATACCTTCCAGGAGTCTTAATTTTCTGTTGTATTATAAAGTGAAGGGGTGGACTGGATCGTGGGTCCCAAGCTACAGGAACAGTCAAGTCATGTAAATAAATGAAGTGGCCCAGTTTAAGACAAGAAAAATGACAGGAATTATGTCAAACTGGACTCAGTTTTGGTTTAGTGTTGTTGACTGAGAGAAGCTGGAAATTTTGACTATTTTATCAAATGAGTTTCAAGTTTAGAATCTCCTCCTAGCGAGTTGGAGTTCAAATTTCCAGATCTGTTTCCTGATTGCCTCTTCATTCTGTGGTGGCCGTGATAACGTGCTTCGCTGTCCTTCAACTACAGGGAGCATAGTTAGCTGACCAAGGCCTCCAGCTAGTGCTCCAATATCCATCACTGCGTTTGCACGGGCTGCGCCCAGCCGGTAACTGAGCGTGGCAGGGATACTAAGGCAGGTCTGTTCCTGGGAGACACTCTGATGGCCAGCCTTGGCTCAAGGACTCCTGGTGACCTTGCCAAACATATCTTAGACCGCATGGCAGTCTAGATGCTTCTTTCTTTCACTTGTGGTCCGACTTCCATTGAGGTCTGACCAGCTCCCCCCATGTCTTCTCATAGGCGTTTCTTCTAATAAAATCCTTGCACAGTTAATCCTGTCTTGGTGTCAGCTTCCCAGAGGACTCAGACTAACATGGTACTCATTCTCCACCACCCCTTGCCTCTCATTTTTTGTTCCAACACACCGTGTCTACAGTTTCCTGCCTGTGTCAAACTGTTGCTTACCCCTGTGCCTTTGTTCTTGCTGTTTCCTTTTGTTGGAATCACTTTCCCTTCTCTTCTTTCCTGGGTTCACCTTTTCAAGGAAGTCTTCTTTGTCACCCTGGTTGGCAGAATTCTACTGGAACGAATACTTAGACGTTGGTTCTTTCCTTCTATTACTCTCATAGTGTTCTGTGAATGAATCTGTCATTAAACTTACCATGTGTATTAATTTCTTAGGACTCTTGTGGCTAATTATTACAAACTGGGTGACTTAAAACAACAGAAGTTTATTCCCACAGTTTTGGAGGCTACAAATCTGAAATCACGGTGTTGGCAGGGCCATGCTCCCTCTGGAGGCTCTAGAGGAGGATCTGTTTCATGCCTTTCTCTAGCTTCTGGCATTTGCTGGTGGTCCTTGGTGTTACTTGGCTTGTAGATGCTTACTCCAGTGTCTGCCCCTGTCTTTACGTAGCCTCTCCGTTTGTATGTGTCTGTGTCTCTTTTGTCTTCATGAGAACATGAATCATTGGATTTAGGGCCTGTCTTAGTTATTTAGTGCTGCTGTAACAGAAATACCACAAGTGGATGGCTTTAACAAACAGAAATTTGTTTTCTCACAGTTACTAGAAGTCTGAAATCAGGATGCTGGCCCTAGCGGAAAGGTTTCTCTCTTTATTGGCTCTGGAGAAAGGTCCTTGTCTCTTTAAGCTTCTGCTCCTAGGTAATCTTCCTTGCTTGCTTGTTTAATCCCTTTTATATCTCAAAAGAGATTGAATCAAGTACACCCTAATCCTGCCTCATTAACATAACAAACGTAACCTAATCCTCATCAATATAACCTAACCCTGCCTCATTAACATAACAAATAACCCATTCACAAATGGGATTATGACCACAGGCAGAGGTTAGCATTTACAACACATCACAAAATGGAGGATAATTACATCAAACCCCAAAATAGAGGGCAATCATACAATACTGGGAATCATGGACTAGCCAAATTGACACATATTTTTGGCAGACACAGTTCAGTCCACGACAGGGCCCATCGTAATCCAGTATGATCTCATTTTAACTAATTGTATCCACAAAGACCCTATTTCCGAGGAAAGTCACGTTCTGAGGTTCTGAGTGGACATGAATTTTTTGGGGGACAGTATTCAACTCAGTATGCTATGTAATAATCATTTGTTTTTGTCTTCTCCCCGTAGATTGTGAGTATAGGGACTTAATATTTATTAGTTCATTAGTGTATTTTTTTTAACTTGACGTTTATTTACTGATTGAACAAAAATTTAGGCATTGTTTAGGTACTAGGAATAGGGGAGTGAAAAAACAGAAATCCCTGACCTCATAGAACTTACATTTCTATTGGGAGAAAACCTATTAAGTGTTGGACAGCATGCCTGGCCATCTTGTGGGTCTTATTTATCTCTGTTTCCACCACATTAGCAAAGTACAGGCAAATAAACCCTCTATAAGTGTGTTGAATGAGTGGATGTCTGTATGAAATGTGATAGCATAGCAAACAAGTTACAAAGGAGAACTTAAAAACCATGCATCTGGACACATGAGGCTGCTGATCTGGGCAGTGGTCCCTGGAGATAAAATTTGCCGGGAGGTTTACCTCAGTAGAATTTTGTTTTTTTTTTAAGTGATTAGTGATTATGTACCTCATAGAGAGAACATTCTCATATGGAGGAGGGAGGCTTTTAGGGAGAATGGAAAGAATACGCACTTGCAAGACAAGAACCCAGGGCTTGGGTGGGTGCTCTGTAACTGCCCAGCTGTGTGATTTCGAGGAGTCATTGTACTCCTCTGAGCTTCACTTTCTGTCATTAGTAAGGGAGCTTCCTAGCTCTAAAATTAGGTATTTCCATGTAATGCTAAGCTTTGTACAAAGCATATGTGGTACACTCTAGTGTCTATCTCTAAATGTTTCCTCTTCTCCTTCTGGATGCATGTTAGGGTTGTAGCTTCCCCGTGGCCAAAGCCAACAAAGTGTGAGCAGAAGTGATGTGAGTCACTTTGAGGTGGGAATTTTAAGAACCAATATGCAGTTTGCTGCTTCCTTTCCCCAGCCTTAGTGACTGAGGAAGCATCTGTTGAGATGGAGCCTCTCTTAGCTGGGTCTTTGAGGGACTATGAGGAGCAGAGCCCCTTGGCTGACCTGTGGTGGACGTGTAGTTTTAAGTAATAAGTAAACCTTTATTATTAAGCCGGTGAGATTTTGGAGTTACTTGTTACTACTGTATAACCTAACCTATCCAAATTGAAACAGTATAATTGAAAGTTCTTTTTTCTTTACTATTGAAATTGTTGAAGACCCTTGGTGGCACAGTGGTTAAGTGCTTAGCTGCTAACAGAAAGGTTGGTGGTTTGAACCCACCAGCTGCTCCGTGGGAGAAAGATGTGGCAGTCTGTTTTCGCAAAGATTTAAAGCCTTGGAGACCCTCGGGGCAGTTCTGCCCTGTCCTGTAGTGTTGCTACGAGTCAGAATCAAATCAACGGCAATGTGTTTTTTGTTTTTTACTTTAATTTTGTTGTTGTTGAGAATATACACAGCAAAATATATGCCAATTCAGCAGTTTCTACTTGTACAATTCAGTGACATTCATTAGATTCTTCGAGTTGTGCAACCATTCTCAGACTCCTTTTCTGAGTTGTTCCTCCCATTATCATAGAGTCACTGCCCCTTAAGGTTCCTATCTAATCTTTCGAGTTGCTGTTGTCACTTTGATCCCATGTAGATAGTTCTTAAAGGAGTATAATGCTCAAGGCAGACGCTCTTTGCTAGTTAAGCTAAACTGTTTGGTTTTAAGATGACTTCAGGGGATATTTTTGGTTTAAGGTTTAAAGATCATCTCAGGGCAGTAGTTACAGGGGTTCATCTAGCTCCATGAGAATTTGAAATTCTGTTCTGCATTTTTCCCTATCGGGTTTTTGGTTTTACTGAAATTGTTAACTTAAAAAAAAGAATATACCTAAATGTGCCACACCTCTCTGTCATGTGGATTTTCAAAATCTGTTTATATTGGTTTATGTCCTTTCAAAATACAATCTTAAAATTTAAAAACATTTAAAAATGTGAAATACACACGACGTTTTGTTCATGTGTATGTTTTCCTCCTATCATTTTTCATCTCACCAGTCTGCTTTCGTAAAGATTTACAGCCTTGTAACCTCCCAGGTAGGTTTGTGTTGGGAACGATATAAATGATTAGTAAAGTTGTTCTGTATACTTTATTTTTAGGATGTCCTATATATACAGCACCAGAAATCCTGAGGGGCACTGACTTCTCCATCACCAGTGATCTCTGGTCTTTGGGCTGTCTGCTTTATGAAATGTTTTCAGGTGATTACTTTGTGGTTCAGTTTAAAATCAGAGATAGACTTAAACAAAACAAAAAAACCAGGTTAAACCTGTAGTGTGCAAATAATTTAGCTGTAAGATGTCAAAAAGCTTGTTTTACTAAATTTTGATATATACTGATCTTGTGGCTGAATTGCTTGGCAGTTGGTCATATGCAGGTTCCTAGGAACTTGTTAACGTGCAGGCATTATTAATGGTAATCATATGAAATGCTAAAAGGTGCCTAACTGTTAAAAACTGTGATTAATTAATAGAAACTCTTGTAAAGATACTTGGTGATTGTGAATCACACAGATGTTGAGTGGCCTGTGTAACCCTTCAGTTATGGGCCCATATGTGAATTTGTATATTTGATAGGATGATAAATTTTGAATTAGAGAAATATAAAAATATATAGACACTGTGCCTGGTACATATACCAAACCAACCAAACCCATTGCCATTGAGTTGATTCCGACTCATAGTGACCCTATATAGGCATTCAGTAATTACATATTTATACATATATATGCACATATTTTTTTAAAATAAATTTTCTGTAAATCCTGAAATATCTGTAGTTGAGATTAGTTTAGAATTACTGGTGATAGCAAACTGTTTAATTTTGCAAGTTTTCATGTGATTTCAGGAAAACCTCCATTTTTATCAGAACATTTTTCAGAATTAATGGAACAGATTTTATATCAAGATCCTTTGCCACCTATTCCAAAAGGTAAGATTTCTTAATGATAAATGCAGTTAATTTATATTTTACACTGCTTAAGGGTACACTTTTATTCAGTCTCTTTTTGTTGATTCATCACCCCTAGAAGTTATATTTTACAACTGATCTCAATGTTTTCAGAAAATTAACATTCCTTTTTGCTATTTTTTTTTTAAAAGATACTGAAGTAGAAAACAAAACACTACTAATTGTTTCCCTCATTTGAAAAACACAAATTATTTTGTGCTTCTTGGTTTAAAGATTTAAGAACCTCACGTCTTTATGTCCTTTTTTTTGTATGTGTTATTAATTTGTTTTGTCCCATGTGGTTGTTTCTGTCTAGTGTTTGAATAGGGAGAAGTCAGGCATTTCTCAGTCCTTATCTTGATAACTTGATGATAAGTTTCAAAAATTTTGTAAACTAGAAATAGTTGTATTTTAAAAGTATTGTAATCATAGAAGTTGTGGTTAATAAAACCTTAATCTGCTGTTAACAATAATTTTAAGGAAAGAAAAGCAAAAGAAGGCACAAACATAATAAAATATTTTACTGTATACCATGAAAGATGTGAATCTTAAGACACAAATGAAAACAGGATTATACAAAAATTAATGTTCTGAGTTTCTAAAAGGAAAACATTTTTGAAGTAATTACTGGAGAAAATAGAAATATAGGATATTTTCAATATTTCAAGAATGCCTAAGTAAATAAAAAAAACAAAAAACAACACTTGATATTTTGAAAATTGTCTACATTTCTTAAAGCAAAAAAGAGCCACATCTCCTGTTTCTTTCATTAACTTTCTCTTAGATTTTATAGAAACCAATCATTCCTATCCCATCATGATGGCTTTTGATTTTTTTGTGTTAAAAACTAACAGTATTGGTCATTGTTTTCTCCTGTAAGTTAAAGGCTTGCATGTAAGGAAGAGAAATCTGAAACTTGAAAATGTTAAGGGTCAGGTCAAGATATCACTGGTTTCCCAAGTTTGATTATTTCATGGGATCTCCATCAGGATGTGGCCATAGTGCCTAGTAGAGCCATCTGTTATGAATGCTTTGGCTCAAGGGTGCTTAGCCATTGTCTTTGATTGGTCATGTTCTTCATGGCCACTTCTTTTAATCATAGACTGGTGAATTGGCCATGGTATATATCTATCTTAATTTAAAAAAAAACATTTGGACATTAATGGAATTAGACAGAATCACAATGTTGTGATGTTTATTATTTCCCTGTTAAAAATCTTCCAAATAAAGAGGGATTGCAAGTATTCTAATCATAGTGAGCTATAAAACAAAGTTGGTGAAGTTAAGAATGCCTCAGATAAGGAAGCAAAATTAATAGTTGAAGACAAGGGTAGGAGTTTGTCAGGCTAGTGACCCTTATTGGGGTTATTCCATAATGAGTTAGTTTAAGGTTAATCAGGACATGGTTTTTGAGATTAATGTTTTTATGTGGTCTATGGAAGAATGTTTTATATCTTTTTGGTCCTCCCCGCACCCCCTACGTTAAATGGAGGCTATAATTGTTATTTGTAGATTTAGTGTTCTCTTAAAAACAATTGATGAGCTTAAAATACTGTTATTTTCAATGTTAATCTAGGGTATTAAATTTGTTGTGTTAGGTATGCATCTACTCACTACTTTTTTTTCTTTTTGGAAATCAATTTGTTCATAGATTCTTCTCTTCCTAAAGCTTCTGCAGATTTTATTAATTTGCTTGATGGTTTACTTCAAAAAGATCCTCGGAAAAGGTAAGGATGGTATTTTAATGTGAATGAATAGTAGAATCTTTTCTCTCGTACTTCTAAAATAATGCTCTTCTTAATACACAAGTAGCTGTTCAGATCATTTCTGTTTTTAAAAAAGTGACTTGAGATTAAGGAACGTTTTTTTCTCTCTGTAAGTGTTTGTAATCATGAGGAAGTTTTAAAGTTGACAGATTTTCTTGTAACTCCCAAATCAAACTAGTGCATTTCTTTCCATTGTGGAGATCAGGCTAAACTGTTTAGACTGTTGAACTGAGGACGTTATTTCAAGATAGTTAATGTAATAACTGTTAATTGAATGATATTTCAATGCAATTTTTTTAAATGATAATCCTATTATAATGTGGACATCAAGTGACAGAATAATAGACACACTGGGACCATGCCATACCTACTTTTTTCACTCATGGTGTATTACGGACATTTTCCCATATTAATAAATAGATAATCTTAGTCATTTTAAATGGCTGCAAAATGTACATGCAACAATTGTAACAGTAAACATTTAGAATACTTCTTGATTTGGAATATTATATACAGTACTGCTGTAAATACCCCTGTGTGTATTTTTTGTTGTCGTTGTTGTTCGTTTGGGTAATTATCTCCTTTGGATAAATTTCTGATCTGGGTTAAAGGTGTTAAAAATAAGATTCATTTGCTGCGTTCCAGGAGTGCGTGATGGTTTACACTTCCAACAACAATCTGTTACAAAGCTCCTTCTGTCCCACCCTTACCTGCAGTGGCCTTTCTTGATCTTTTAAATTTCTGCCAGTATGTTGGATGAAAAAAAAATCTCACCTTATTGACCATTTTTCTTTTAGTGAATTGTATGAACCCTTTGTGAAAAAGGGATAGTATATGTGGTTGCAAATTCTTTCTCTTTATCATTCATGTTTTAATTTTTTTTTATTTAAATATAGGAATTTTCAATAAAGTGGTCAAACGTAAATTTTTTTTTCATTTTTGTTTTTAAATTTCAGTCAGGCTTAACCATTCCCAAACTGATGCATGTACCTGGACGTATATTCTATTAGTGGCAAAACTTAATGTTTTGAAAGTAGATCTGGGTTTTAGATACAATCTAAAGTCATTTTAATGTGGGTGAACTAGCTAAGGTCACATTATTCTGACCCCTAAACACAGGTGTGACTATCCAGTCATGATGCTAATATTTTTATTTCTGAATGAAGTTGTACAAGTGAAGTTCTAAAACTGAAATGTTTCAGATAAGGTTATTAGAATCAAAATCTAGCCTCTCTGTACATAAAGGATGACAGTATTGTAAATTGCTACTATCTATTATATTTATTTAAAAAATTTGAATTTTGGAGCTCCCTTCATAGACTGATTTAAGAACCAGAATTGTTCTTATAGTCCCTGAAAAATGTAAATCCTGAGACTTCTAATACAAACTGTGCTTAATTGTCAGACAGTTTTATACTGTACCATTTAAGGCTTCTGAATGATTTCTTCTGGTTTTGCTTCTAAGGGAGGTTAATTGCATGGTGAAATAAAAGGGTAAAATATAAAGCAATTTCATTGTCACATTTACGTGGGGATATTTATAAACTATAAAATATTATACTACACTGCACCTAATTGGGACATGTCCTGGGAATTCTCCATAGTAAAGTCATGTTAAAAGTTTTCTCATTTATGTTTTGTAAAGATTGACTTGGCCAAGCCTCCTACAGCATTCATTTTGGAAGGATGCTTTCACTAGAAAAGATCAGGACTCAGCAAGCACTGAGGATCCCAGCTTCAGGTAATAGAAAGTTACTTTGTGCGTATGGGGCACTGCTGTTAAACACTCATACACGTTGTTGTTGTGTACTGTCTAGTTGATTCCAACTCACAGTAACCCATTACTGTTCTAATAATGCAACAACAATGACCTAAGTTTCCATGCTTTCATAATATGAGAAAATCAAACATTTTATTGTTTAATGAAAGAGTTTCGTCATGACGTTGTTGTTTTCTTGGTTTTGTTCATTTTCTGATTAGTTGTTTATTTTCAAATCTGTGATTTAGTATAGTAATCATTCACCGTATACGCATGGCTTCCCGCCTTCAGGTGCCTGTTAGGATCTCCTTTTCTGCTTTGAAGTTGGGGGTGGTCATCTGACTTGCTTTGGCTCATGAAATGTGAGCAGAAGTCAACGTGTTATTTCTGGATGGAGACTTTAAGAGCCAGTGTGTGATTTACCACATTCCTCCTCCTGGTGAAATAATTGGGAAGCAAGTGTTGAAATGGAGTGGCTGTCAGCTTGGGTCCTTAGTGGCTACAGTGAACATAGCTTTCCTGCCAGCCCTCAGTGGGTATGTAGCATGAGTGAGACATGAAGTTATGAGATTTTAAGCCAGTAGGATTTAGGAGTTGTATTGGTTTTCTAGAGCTGCTGTAACAAAAGTATCACAAACTGGGTGGCTTCAACAACAGGAATTTATTCTGTCACAGTTCTGGAGGTTAGAAGTCCAAGATCAAGGTGCTGGAAAGGCCACACTCAGAAGGCTGTAGGAGAGGATCTGTTCCATGTTTTTCTCTTACCTTCCGGTGGTTGCTGGTGGTCCTTGGTATTCCTCACTTGTAGAGGCATCACTCCAATCTCTATACCTGTCATCAGTGGCCTTCTCTCCTCTGTGGGTGTGTCTGTTTCTCTTCTCTTCTTAGAAGGACACCAGTCATACTAGATAAGGACCCATTCTGTGGGAGCTACAGAGAAGTTTAAGTTATAGCTCCTACCTTTTCAGTTGGCTTGGAGTAGTGTCACAGAGAGAAGCTAATACCCAGATGGCACCCGATGAACTGGGTTCTGATTCTGCTCCATCAGTGTCAGCAAGTCATGGAACACCTCTGACTCTTAGTTTATCATCCTTAAAATAAGGGAGAAAATTCTTGCTCCACCATTTTCCCTACAGAGTTGCTGGGAAAAATATGTGAGATAATATAAATGAAAATACTTTGAAAAAGGTCAAAGATTATACCAATAGATGTTATTAATTCTTTGTTTTACCTTACTGTCCTTTTTTGTTCTACAGGATGAGTATCTAGTTCTTTGCAGGTAACTTGAAGGAATAAACTAATGTAATTAAAGTTGTTGAAAACTTTTTGTCTTTGTATGTATTTAGAGATGTAGAAATGTAGAAAAAATCTTCATCACCAGTGAAAGATTTTTATGTTAATTTTAAAGTATCTCATGTAGATACTCATGTCATCTGTAAGTACGGACGGTTTTATTTCATTTTTTTCTAATCTGTATGCCTTTTATTGCCTATTGCACTGACTAGGACTTTCTGTAAGATACTGATTGAGGGATGATGAAAGTGTACATTTTTGCCTGGTTTCTGATTTTAGGGTGAAAGTATTTAGTCTTTTCTTATTAAGTGTGATGTTAACTGTAGATTTTTTGTTGCTACTCTAAGTTTGAGAAAGTTTTCTTTCTATTCCTAGTTTCTTGAGAATTTTTATCATGAATGAACGATAAATTTTGTCAAATGCTTTTTCTGTGTCAGTTGATAAAATTCATGTGATTTTTCTTCCTGAGTCTCTTAATATGGTGGATTAGATTAATTTGGTTTTCAAATTCTGAGCCTGCCTTGCATTTCTAGGATATGTACCCCTCTTGATATCATGGTGTATTGTTATTTTTATGTATTACTGTGTGCCTTTGGGCCAAGTTGCAGGAGGACAGAGGGGGGAAAAAGCAATAGGAATTTGCCTCACATTCTTGGAATCACAGCTGTCTGATCAGAGAGAAGGGTTCCCTTCTCTTAGAGTCGTAGGTATTGGCCGAGGGCTGCTGCTGTCCCTACCCAGCTGCTACTGGATTACCTGGAGGCTGGGGCAGGAGAAAATGGAGAAAGAGAAAAAGCTACTGGGTGATTCCCCTTGTCCTCTCTGACCCATAAGGGGGCTCTCTTTCCCATTCTTTGGAATAGAAATAGAGGGCTTATTTTGGGGCTCATTCTGTCTGTATTCCTTGCGCACCTATGGGCTAAGGGCCTTTGAGTCCAGGCCGGACAACCCCAGAAGGAGAAAAATAAAGGGAAACCACCTAGTTTAGTGGTACTTAAAGTTGTAGTTTTGTTCTCCAGTCCTCCTGCTACCATTTATTTTTCAGAAATGAGGTTTATAGACTACTTACTACAATGCCTTGCGTATGGTAAGTGCTCATTTTAGCTACTGAATGTATATATATTTTCTAACTCTATGACTTTGCCAAGTATCATATGCGATTTCATGATCTTTCCAAGCTGTTGTTCTGTCCAGAAAACTGTAGAGAGCTCCAAAATAAGTTTGTGTTGCCTTTTTCCTGTTGACTAGCGGAAATGGGATGGAGTGTTCTGAGCCATTAGATTCCAAGGAGCTTTTGAGGAACCCTCAGAGTGGACAAACAAAAGGGCAGAAGAGTGGTCAGCTACTAAATCGCTCTTTTAGACTAGGTAAGCTTTCATTTGTACATGTTCATGCTGCTTAGAACACTGTTTCTGAGGGTTCCTAATTTCAGGTTATCTTTCTATTTAAATCTGTCCCCATTATGCCCTACTCAAGAATTTTTTTTTGTTTTTTCTTAAATGGATAATGTGTTACTTTCTTGCCACAGAAAATCCAACTGAATTGAGGCCTAAGAGTACTCTTGGAGGTCAGCTGAATGAGTCCATGTTTCTTCTCAGGTATGTAAAATGAAAAAGAAAAAAAAAAAAGGGAATCAATGGAAGATGAAAGCTAAATCTTCTTAAAACATACATTGTCCTGCTGTCAAACCATGATGCACAGAGATGAAGGACTGGGATATTGATGCAAAATTCCAGTTTCATTCTCCATTTTCAAAGTTAGAATTAAGTGATGGCCAGTGGAATTTATATTTCTGCCTTTTTTTTTTTTTTTAAAGCAAACCAGCTTATTTTTCCTATTTACAAGGGTTAAATCCTCTTCATTTTGTACCTTCACTTCAAATAGAATTGGGTTTAAAATTTCAGAAGTCTATTTTCCCTTCTTTTGCAGAGTATCTAACCTATTTTATTATGTTAATCCTGCAAAAGCCAGTAGACATTTAAAACGTAATAAAATCAATGTCTTTCAGTTTCCTTGGTAAGAAGAAGGTATTGTATGTAGCATGGAAGCTATAAATAAAAGAAATAATTTATTAGCCAGGAAATTACTTTACAAACAGCTACAAAAATAATATAAACACAAATTAGGGTTTAAATATACTTCTTAAATAAAATGTGATCATATAGCATTTCATTTAATTTAAACAATTTTCTAATCATATTCTGCCATTTGCCATGAGACGTGTTTTTGAATTGAGAAAATAGTAAACAGCTGATAAAGTTTATGAAGTCGAGTAATTTTAACTGGTTTGTATTTTTCAGTTCTCGTCCTACCCCAAGAACTAGCACTGCAGTGGGATTAAGTCCTGGTGATGATATGACTCAAAACTCACCACAGAAGACTTCTTCTCTGTCAAAGGTGAACAGGGATGGAATTTTTTTTTTTTTCTGCATAAGATAAAGAAGCTCAGGAGAATAATTGCAAGTTGATCTCTAAAATGTGTTCATAACTACAAAATTTACAGTAAAGTCATCAAACCAAAAACCCGTTACCATTGAGTCGATTCGGACTCATAGCAACCCTATAGGACAGGGTAGAACTGCCCCAAAGGGTTTCCAAGGAGCGGCTGGTGGATTCGAACTGCCGATCTTTTGGTTAGCAGCCAGGCTCTTAACCACTCCACCACCAGGGTTCTCTATTAAGTGATTTTTCTAGTAAATACTCTTAAGAGATAATTCCATTTAGTTGCTTCAGACTTTTTTTTTTTTTTTTGTAACAACCTTATTGAGATATAGTCCCTATACCATTGAATTTACCGATTTAAAGTGTACAATTCAATAACTTTTAGTATATTCACAAAGTTGTGCAACCATCACCACAATCACTTAGAACATTTTCGTCACCCCTAAAAAGAAACCCTGTGCCCATTAGCAGTCACTTCTTAGTCTTCCCCTCTCCAGCCCCTGGCAACCACTGATCTACTTTCTGTAGATTTGCCTCTTCTGGGAACTTCATATAAATGGAATCATACGATATGTGGCCCTTTGTGACTGGCTTCTTTCATTTAGTATAATGTTTTAAAGTTTCTTCTGTGTTGTAGGATATATCAGTATTTTATTCCTTTTTATTGCCAAATGATATTCCATGATATGAATATACCACATTTGTTTATCCATTAATCAGTTGATGGACTTCGGGTTTTTTCCATTTTTTGGTTGTTATAAATAATGCAGTTATGAACATTCATGTACAAGTTTTTGTGTAGACACGTTTTCATTTCTCTCGAGTATATACCTAGGAGTGGAATTGCTAGATCATACGGTAACACTATATTTAACCATCTGAGGGACTGCCAGGTTGTTTTCCAAAGTAACCGCACTGTTTTACATTCATAGCAGCACTGTTTGAGGGTTCTGATTTTTCCACATCCTTGCCAACACTTGTTATTGGCCCTCTTTTTTGATTATAGCCACCTTGGTGATTGTGAAGTGGTATTTCATTGTGGTTTTGAATTGCACTTCCCCATGGCAAATGATAGCAAGCTTTTGTTCATGTGCTTACTGGCTATTTGTATATCTTCTTTGGAGGAATGTCTGTTTAGGTCCTTTGCCCATTTTTTAGATTGATTTGTCTTTTTACTGTTGAGTTGTAAGGGTTCTTTATATATCGTACATATAAGTCTATTACCAGATAAATGATTCGCAAATACTTTCTCCTATTCTGTGACTTGTCATTTTGCTTGGTTGACGGTGTCCTTTGAAGCACAGAAGTTTTAAATTGTGATGAGGTTCAATTTATTTTTTTGTTTTGTTGCTTGTGCTTTTGGCATCATATCTCTGAAACCATTGCCTACTCCAAGGTCACAAAGATTTATACCAAAGTTTTCTTCTAAGAGTTTTATTGTTTTACCTCTCATAATTATGTCTTTGATCTATTTTTTTAGTTAATTTTCACATATGGTGTGAGGTAGGAGTTCAACTTCATCCTTTTGAATGTGGCTTTTGTATTGTCCTAGCACCATTTGTTGAAAAGACTGTTTTCCCGCATTGAATTGTCTTGGCACCCTTGCTGAAAATCACTTGGCTGCAAATGTGAAGGCCTATTTTTGGACTTTTTATTCTGTTCTATTGATCTATATGTCTATTCTTATCCTAGAACTACACAGTTTTGATTGCTGTAGCTTTGTAGTAAGTTTTGAAATTGGGAAGTATGATTCTTCTAACTTTTCAAGGTTGTTTTGGATATTCTGAGTACTTGCATTTCCATATTAGTTCTAGGATCATCTTGTCTATCTCTGCAAAGAAGCCAGCTGGGATTTTGATAGAAATTCTGTTGAATCTGTGGATCAGTTTGGGTAGTATTGCTACCTAAACAGTATTGTCTTCCTCCATGAACATAGGATGTCTTTCTGTTTATAGATCTCCTTTAATTTCTTGGAATCATAGTTGTTTTGAATGCAGAAGTATTTTAAATTAAAAAACATTTGTTATCTTTTATTGTGCTTATTGTCTGATAAATATAATTGCTTTTAGTTGTTACCATAATTTTTATGTGATGTGAAATACAACGGGTCTTTGCAGGGCTTATTTTTACAGTGAAGGTTTAGGTTCAGCAGCAGTGAAATGAAATGTGTTGTTGTTAGGTACCGTCAAGTTGGTCCTGACTCATAGTGACCCTGTGTACAACAGAACAAAATACTACCCGGTCCTGTGCCATCCTCACAATCATTACTGTGTTTGAGCCCATTGTTGCAGCTGCTGTGTCCCTGAATCTTGTCAAGGGTCCTCCTCTTTTTCACTGACCCTCTGCTTTACCAAGCTTGATGTCCTTCTCTGGGGACTGGTCCCTCCTGATGAAATGTGCAAAGTACGTGAGATGAAGTCTCATCATCTTTGCTTTTAAGGAGCATTCTCGTTGTACTTCTTCCAAGGCAGATTTGTTCATTCTCCTGGCAGTCTCTGGTATATTCAGTATTCTTCAACACTGTAATTCCGAAGCATCAATTCTTTTTCAGTCTTCCTTATACGTTGTCCAGCTTTTGCATACATATGAGGCAGTTGAGAATACCGTGGCTTGGGTCAGAGGCATCTCAGAGTGACATCTTTGCTTTTTAACACTTTAAAGAAATCTTTTGCAGCAGATTTGCCCAATGCAATACATTGTGTGATTTCTTGATTGCTGCTTCCATGGTCATTGATTGTAGACCCAAGTAAAATGAAATCCTTGACAACTTCAATCTTTTCTCCATTTATCGTGATATTGCTTATCGGTCCAGTTGTGAGGATTTTTGCTTTCTTTATGTTGAGGTGTAATCCATACTGAAAGCTGTAGTCTTTGATCTTCATCAGTAAGTGCTTCAAGTTCTCTTCACTTTCAGCAAGCAAGGTTGTGTCATCTGCATGTTGCAGGTTGTTAATGAGTCTTCTTCCAATCCTGATGCCACATTCTTCATATAGTCCAGCTTCTCGGATTATTTGCTCAGCATAGAGATTGAATGGGTATGGTGAAAGGATACAACCCTGACACATACCTTTCCTGGTTTTAAACCTTGTGGTATTCCCTTGTTCTGTTCGAACAACTGCCTCTTGGTCTATGTACGGGTTCCGCATGAGCATAATTAAGCGTTCTGGAATTCTCATTCTTTCCTGTGTTATCCATAATTTGTTGTGATCCACATAGTCAAATGCTTTTGCATAGTCAATAAAACACAGGTAAACATCTTTCTGATATTCTCTACTTTCAGCCAAGATCCATCTGACATCAGCAGTGATATCCCTAATTCCACATCGTTTTCTGAATCCAGCTTGAATTTCTGGCAGTTTCCTGTTAATGTACCACTGCAACCATTTTTGAATTATCTTTGGCAAAATTTTAGTTGCATGTGATGTTAATGATATTGTTCGTTAATTTCCGCATTGTTGGATCACCTTTCTTTGGAATGGACACAAATAAAGATCTCTTCCAGTTGGTTGGCCAGGTAGCTGTCGTCCAAATTTCTTGGCATAAATGAATGAGCATGTCCAGCACTACATCTGTTTTTTGAAACGTATTAGTTTGTATTCCTTTGATTCCAGGAGCCTTGTTTTTTCGCCAATACCTTCAGTGTAGCTTGGACTTCTTCCTTCAGTGCTATCAGTTCTTGATCATATGCTACCTCCTGAAATGGTTGCATGTTGACCAATTCTTTTTGATATAGTGACTCTGTATTCCTTCTATCTTCTTTTGATGTTTCCTGTGTCGTTCAGTATTTTGCTCGTAGAATCCTTCAGTATTGCAACTTGAGGCTTGAATTTTTTTTTTCAGTTCTTCAAGCTTGAGAAATGCTGAGCATGTTCTTTGCTTTTGGTTTTCTAATGCCAGGTCTTTGCACATTTCATTATAATACTTTGTCTTCTCGAGTTGCCCTTTAAAATCTTCTGTTCAGCTCTTTTACTTCATCATTTCTTCTGTTTGCTTTAGCTGCTCTATGTTCAGGAGCAATTTTCAAAGTCTCTTCTGACATCCATTTTGTCTTTTTTTTCTTTCCTCTCTTTTTAATGACCTTTTGCTTTCTTCATGTATGATGTCCTTGATGTCATCCCACAGCTCATCTGGTCTTTGGTCATTGGTGTTCAAGCGTTGTCATGGATTGACTTGTGTCTCCCAAAAATGTGTATTAGTTTGGCTGGGCCATGATTCCTGATATTGTGTGATCATACACCAATTTATCATCTGATGTGATTTTCCTATGTGTTGTAAATTCTGCCTCTATGATGTTAATGAAGGGGGATGGGCGGCAGTTGTGTTGATGAGGCAGAACTCAATCTGTGGGATTGGATTGTGTCTTGAGCTGGTTTCTTTTGGGATATAAAAGAGAGAAGCAAGCAGAGAGACGGGGGACCTCATACCACTAGGAAGACAGTACTCGGAGCAGAGTACATCCTTTGGACCTGGGTTCCTGTGCGGAAAAGCTCCTAGTCCAGGAGAAGATTGATGAGAAGGACCTTCTCCAGAGACAAGAGAGAGAGAAAGACTTCTCCTGGAGCTGATGCCCTGAATTTGGACTTTTAGCCTACTTCACTGTGAGGAAAAAAATTTCTCTTTGTTAAAGCCATCCACTTGTGGTATTCCTGTTACAGAAGCACTAGATAACTAAGACAAGCATCGAATCTATTCTTGAGCTGGTCTCTAGATTCAGGTGGGATATATTCAAGGTTGTACCTTGGCTCTTGTGGGTTTGTTTTAATTTTCTTCAGCTTCAACTTGAACTTACATATGAGCAATTGATAGTCTGTTCCCCAGTTGGCCCCTGGCCTTGTTCTGACTGATGATACTGAGTTTCTGCATCATCTCCTTCCACAGATGTAGTCGATTTGATTCCTGGGTATTCAGCCTGGCAAGGTCCATGTGTATAGTCACTGTTTATGTTGTTGAAAAAAGGTATTTGCAATGAAGAAGTCATTGGTCTTGCAAAATTCTATCATGCAATCTTTGTTGTCGTTTCTGTCACCAAGGCCATGCTTTCCAACTACCGGTCCCTCTTATTTGTTTCCAGTGTTGGCATTCCAATCACCAGTAATTATCAGTGCATCTTGATTTGCATATTTGATCAATTTCAGACTATAGAAGTTGGTAAAAATCTTTAGTTTCTTCGTCTTTGGCATTAGTGGTTGGTGCATAAATTTGAATAATAGTCATATTAACCGGTCTTCCTTGTAGGCATATGGATATTATCCTATCACTGGCTTCAGGGTAGATCTTGTAATGTTCCTTTTTGATGATGAATGTGATGCCATTCCTCTTCAATTTGTCATTCCAAGGATAGTAGACCATATGATTGTCAGATTCACAATGGCCAATACCAGTCCATTTCAGCTCACTAATGCCCAGGATAATGATCTGTATGTGTTCCATTTCATTTTTGATGACTTCCAATTTTTCTAGATTCATACTTCATAGATTCCACATCCTGATTATTAATGGATGTTTACAGCTGTTTCTTCTCATTCAGAGTCGTGCCATCTTAGCAAATAAGGGTCCCGAAAGCTTAACTTTATCCGTGTCGTTAAGGTTGATTCTACTTTGAGGAGACAGTTCTTCCCCAGTTCTATTTTGAGTGCCTTCCTACCTGAGGGGCTCATCTTCAGCATTATATCAGACAATGTTTTGCTGCTATTCATAAAGTTTTCACTGGCCGATTTTTTCAGAAGTAGATCACCAGGTCCTTCTTCCTAGTCTGTCTTAGTGTGGAAGCTCAGCTGAAACCTGTCTACCATGAGTGACCCTGCTGGTATTTGAAATACCAGTGGCATAGCTACGAGCATCACGGCAACACACAAGCCAGCACAGTACGACAAACTGACAGACAAGTGGTAGAAATGAAATGTAAGTTGGTTACAATAAAATCTCTCTGCTCACAATTTGTTGGTTATATGTGAAACAGAAAATCACCGTAAAAGTAAGAAATAACGTTCTGAAATGTGATAGATGTTGAAGCTCTTGTAGCAGATGGTTATTTTAGATGAGTATATGGAGTTTCTTTGTTGAGAATATTCAAGCAATAATTATATAGATACTACAAGGTAGTTAGGAGTCCCTGGGTGGTGCAAACAGTTAAAGCACTGGGCTACTATCCAAAGGGTTGGAGTTGTGCACCCACTTTGAAAGACAGGGCTGGTGATCTACTTCTGAAAGGTCATAGCCTTCAAAACCCATGGAGCAGTTCTACTTTGCACACGAGTTCACCGTGGATGGAGACCATTCGATGGCAGCTAACAGTAAAAACACAAGCCAGTTTATAGTTTATAATTTTTAAAAAAGATGCTTTTTTTATTCAGTAACAAAATAATGTGTACTAATTGTAGAAAACTTGGAAGATGTAGTAGAACACAAAGAAAATGGAAAAATTACCTATAATTTCATTACTCGGGTAACCAGTAATTACATTTTGATATGTCTGCTTCTGGTTTTATACATATATGTTCATTTTTAAACAAGGAAACAATTTTCTGACGTAATTTTTTTCATTTAACAGTTTAGATCTCATTACAATCTTTGGTCACTTAGTTCATTTCTGAGCATTTTGTGTTTGATATCGTGAGTAGGGTATTAAATTTTTATACTTGTAATTTGTGCATTCATTCCATTTATATATAGGATACTAATAATTTTTATATACAAATTTTCTAATTGGTCCACCTTACTCTATTATCATTTCTGATAGTTTTTCTGTTGAATTCATTTTGGTTTTTTGGATGTGCACTTACATCATGTACATATAAAAATTATTTAGCCATCTCCCTTTCCAATATTGATGTCTTACTTTGTTCTTTGAGCTAATCTGAGTACTACAGTTCCTATACAGTGTTAAATCAGCAGTGATAGGTAGCCCCTTTGCTCTGTTAGTGACTTCTCTCCTTTCATTCTGCCCCCTCTCTAGCCCAGGACACCAACCTTGCTATTTTAGTAACCTACTAGCTGGTCTTCCCACTTCTCTCATGCTCCTGTCTAATCCATTCTCCACAGATACCAATGTGATTTTTTTTTTTTTTTTTTTTAAGAACTTAATTCATTACAGCTGCCTTCTTTTGAGCACTGTCAGGCCTTGTTTTAAATGCTCTACATTTATTCTCCATTATCCTAAAAATTTAGTGGTTTTAGTCTTCATTATAAGTGAAGAAAAAATACTTAGGCTTAACTTTCTTAAAGCCATATAATTAACAAGTGACAAAGTAAGTCTAACCTAGTCTTAGTCTTGAGATTCGACAGTCTAAAATTTGTTTGAAAAATTTTTTTATTATTGTGATTTAGGTGAAAGTTTACATAGCAAATTAGTTTCTCATTAAACAGTTCATACAGAAATTGTTTTGTGACATTGTTTGCCAACCCTCTGATGTGTCAGTACTCTCCCCTTGTCCACCCCAGCTTCATTGTTTACATTTGTCCAGTTTTCCTGTCCCTTCCTGCCTTCTCATCTTTGCTTTTGGGCTGGTGTGCCCATTAGTCTCGTATGCATGATTGAACTATGAAGCACATCCCTCACATGTGTTATTGTTGGCCGTATAGACCTGTCTAATCTTTGGCTGAAGTGTGAACCTCAGGAGTGACTTCAGTACTGAGTTAAAAAGGTATGCTGGGGCCATACTCTCGGGGTTTCTCCAGTCTCTATCAGACCAGCAAGCCTGGTCTTTTTTTGTGTGTGTGTGAATTTGAATTTTGTTCTACATTGTTCTGGGCTCAGTCTAGTGGAGGCTTTGGTGGTTGTGGTCCATTAGTCCTTTGGACTAATCTTTCCCTTGTGTCTTTGTTCCTCATTCTCCTTTGCTCCAACCAGGATGAGACCAGTAGAAGTAGCTTCAGTGGCCGCTCGCAGGCCTTTAAGACCCCAGTTGCTACTCATCACAGTCGGATGTAAAACATTTTCTTTATAGGCTGTGTTATGCTGATTGAGCTAGATGTCCTCTGAGACCATGGTCCCCAGCCCTCAGCCCAGTAGCTTGATCTCTCAGGGCATTTGGATGTGTCTTGTAGCTTCTATGACTTTGCTCTGGTCAAGTTGTACTGACTTCCCCAGTATTGTATAGTGTCTTACCCTTCAAGTTACCACTTATCTACTATCTTGTTAGTGTTTTTTCTTCCCTACCCCTCCCCTCCCTTGTAACCATCAAAGATTATTTCTTTCTGTGTGGAAACATTTTCATGGGTTTTATAACAGTGGTCTCATACAGTGTTTGTCCTTTTGTGATTGACTTATTTTCACTCAGTATAATGCCCTCCAGATTCATCCATGTTGTGAGATGTTTCATAGATTCATCATTGTTCTTTATTGTTGTGTAGTATTTCATTGTGTGTATGTACCATAGTTTGTGTATCCATTCATCTGTTGATCAACACTTAGGTTGTTTCCATCTTTTTGTCATTGTGAACAATATTGCAGTGAACATGGGTGTGCATATGTCTATTCCTGTGATGGCTCTTACTTCGCTAGGATATGTTTCTAGAGTGAGATTGCTAGATCTTATGGTATTTCTATTTATAGCTTTTTAAGGAAATGCCATATTGTTTTCCAAAATGGTTGTGCCATTTTACATTACCACCAGCAGTGCATGAGTTCCAATCTCCCTGCAGCCTCTCCAACATTTGTTACTTTCTGTTTTTTTAATTTGTGCCAGTAATGTTGGGGTGAGATGGTACCTCATTGTAGTTTTGATTTGCATTTCTCTAATGGCTAGTGATCATGAGCATTTCCTCATGTGTCTGTTAGCCACCCGAATGTCCTCTTTCGTGAAGTGTCTGTTCATATCCTTTGCTCATTTTTTAATTGGATTATTTGTCTTTTTATTGTAGAGGTATTGGGTTTTCAACTGTGTTTTTATTTTTAAACAAAGTTCCTCATCTATTTCTTCAAATGTTTTGTATCTGTCTTTCTTCTAAGTTGTAAAGGGTAGCCTTGGTTTCCAGGAACTTCATTAGCTATTTTGTTCCTTTATTCACATCCTTATTTTAGTTCTGGATAACTTCCTTCTTTATTTCACTGATCTGGTTTTCTGTGTTACTCAGTTGCTGGGCATTGTTCCAATTGAAGTTTTTAACACATTAATCCTCTTTTTCTGGTGTGAAATACAAAGGCACAGCCCTAAGAATAAATGTTTTGTCTAACTAGAGCACAAAGAGGCATCCTGAATGTTTAATAAACATTAAGTGTTTAACACTTAGGAGGCAGGTCAGCACTTCACCCTGAAAAATTTTGATGCCATCATTTTAACTTCATATTCAATAGTCTGTAAAGTAGAAATAAATGGATTAGTGTTCTGTGAATGAAAGATAAAAACCATGCTGCTAATTGAAAAACCAATTTGCCTCATCATAGTTTAGAACATCAAACTGTAGAAGATCTGTTTTCTAGTCCAACCAGCCTTAGCTGTAAACTTGGGAAAGTCAGATAACCTTCTCTGAGTGTTGCGTTTTTCATATGTAAAATGGGAGAAGTGATCTGTCTGACTCAGGGTTTTTGTGAAGATCAGATGGGACTATGTATCTGTGGAAGTGTTTTCAATAACAGGTTAAGTGCATTGATGTAGGTGACCTTTTTTTGTGGTGTCTTCTTAGCATGTTATTAGCTCATCTTTTAAAGCTTTTCATTAGTTACAGAATCAGTCTTAATTTTTGTTCTTATTTCAGATTATAAGTGGACACCTGAGTCAGCAGGACCTGGAATCCCAGATGAGAGAGCTTATCTACACAGACTCAGATCTTGTTGTTACCCCAATTATCGACAATCCAAAGGTATGGAAAGATACCTCAGAAACTGTGGGCTGAGTTTTAGACTTCACTGAGGCCTGAACTCTGTGATATTTTCATTCAAAATGTTCTTTGCCTTCTTTTCTTTCCTGTTCCTCTTATTTCCTGTTTCTGTTTCATTTATGCCACATGTCTGCATTTTCAACTCCTACCCAGTCTGTCATCCTCTCCTCGTCCTGCCTCCACTTCATAGGAACGTTGAATTCCTCTGTCTCCGCTGTTTCTGACGTGTCACCTCTGCCTCCCATCAGTCCACTCTCCACGGACGGAGGAGGAGCCTCAGACCTGTGCCCTCAGCGCCTTGCTTTCTCCATACATACTTGTGTGAATCAGTCCAAACTTTTTTAGTCACTGATGTATTATGAAGGGAGTCGTCGATGAGTACCACTCACCAGGCTGAGGTGGGCTGGACAGATCCTAGAGACCACACCCTCTCATAGGGTGTGAAGGCTGTACGGCAGAGGGCAGGGAGACAATATGGGAGTTTGGGGAATTGTGGTTCACAGTGCAGTTGTAACCCAGTGTGATTTTTGTTGCTTCGTAGCCTTAGCTACATAATATTACATAACTAGGGGATGAGGAATAGTCTCCTTTTTAAAAAAAAAAATTAATTTCTCAGTCTGGTTTTCTATTAATTTCCAACCCTCCAACACATTCACATCTACCACCTATTCCATATGTTAATTTTCCTGCTTCCTTTATTTTTATTGTTGTTGAAAATATACACAGCAAACATACCAATTCAGCAGTTTCTATGTACAGTACAGTGACATTGATTATATTCCTCAAATTTGTGCAGCCATTTTCACCCTCCTTTTCTGATTTGTTCCTCTTCTTTTGACATAAACACACTTCCCCCTAAGTTACCTATCTAATCGTTCAAGTTGCTGCTATCACTTTGATGCCTTATAGAAAATTCTTTAAAAGAGCACAGTGCTCACAGCAGACATTCTTTACTAGTTAAACTAGACTGTTTGGTTTAAAGATGTCTTCAGGGGGTATTTTTGGTTTAAAATTTCAGGGCTAAAGATTATCTCAGGGCAATAGTTTCTGGGGTTCGTCTAGCTTCAGTGGCTGCAGAAAATCTAGGTTCCATGAGAATTGAAATTCAGTTCTGCATTTTCCCTCCTTTTAATCAGGATCTTCTGTAGAGTGTTTGATCAAAATGTTCAATAACGGTAGCTGAGCACCATCCAGTTCTTCTGGTCTCATAGCAAAGGAGGCAGTTGTTCATGGAAACAGTCAGCCACACGTTCCATTTCCTCCTCCTATTCCTGACACTTCTTCCTCTGTTGCTCCTTCCTTTTTAAAAGAAAATGTCTTTTTCAGTATTAATTCATTACTGTTTTATCTTATTGGGGAACGTTACTATAGTTTGGACCAATTGGGTTCTTGGGTGCATATTTATTTCCTAGAGAGACAGAGTTTAATATAGATTATCAAGCTGTTTTTCATAATGGAACTAATTTCTTTTATGAGTTTGGATGTCTGGCAGATGAACTTTATATTGTGCTAAACTTGATGGGTAATGAGACCTTTTCCCAGTGGACTTTTCTAGAAAAATGTGTGATGTCTTTTGACCATATTCCCACTATATTTTTTATTTCTTTAATAACTACCACTTAGTAGTTTCTGGGAAACCTTAGCTAGTAGAGGCTTTTTTTTTTTTTTTTTTTAAGTTTTTAAACTAATTTTAGATTTATAGAAAAGATTAAAAAATAGTGCAGAGCGTTTCTGTATACCTTTGAGCTTCTCCTAGTCTTAGCATCTTACATGACTATAGTACAGTTATCAAAACCAGGAAATTAACATTAGTTAGTGCTATTCACTAAACCACAGAACCTGTTTGAGCTTTCCCAGTTGTTTCATTAATGTCCTTTTTCTGTTTCAGGCAGGGCTTCCAATCTGTTTGTTCTGGTTTGAATCTCTGCTGATAATTTGCATTTTTAATAAGTTCCTGGGAAGTTATACATAAGAATCACCTGGGAATCTTGTTAAAATGTAGATTCTGATTCAGTATATCTGGGGTGGAAATGCAAATTCTCAGCAGGGGTTTAACCCAGAACGAACTGGTTTGAAGCTCTTGTTCTAAGATTCCACCTTCTGGTTAGTTGTTGTTTATCCTTAGTTTCCTATGATCTGTGCTTGTCCTGTGTGGCCTTTTGATAATTGTCAGTCTTTCCTTGTCTTTCATGACCTGACACTTGTGAAGAGTACTGCTCAGGTATTTTATAGAATGCCCATCAGTTTAGGTTTGTCTAAAGGTTTATCATGGTTAGAATGTGTTTATGCATTTCTGACAAGAATTCTACCAGTAAAGGTTTTTAAAATAGTGTTTGTTAGAGGTTTTAGAGAAGTTAGACATGGAAATGGGGGTGAAATTTATTAAAAGTTTATTCATAGTTATTACTCAATATGAAGTATTTCTGCTGTTCCTTATATAAACTCATGCCTCTAACTATGTGGTTTCGTCCAATAAATCATGCACTTTCTTATTCACGCTGTTCCGGCTTCCTGAAATGGTATCTTTCCTAATTTAGCCATCAACTCCTAACCATCCTTCAAGACCCCAACCTGCCATCCACTTCTTCCACAAACCTTGTCCCCACCCCATCAGCCTGAAGTGCTTGCTCACTCTCTAAATTTAAAAAAAAAAATCTCTCTCTCAAATGTTTTTTCTATAATTATGTTCTGCCTGGTTTGAATTGTTACTTAAATATTTTATATTTTATTATTGTTTTCAATTGTTTATCTCATCTTCCCAGCCCAGGGTGTCAACTCTCTGACACTAAGGATCATGTCTTTTATATCTTTGTATCTCTCTTAGTACTTAGCATAGTGTCTCACCGTGGTAGATACTCAGTAAATGTGTGTTGAATGACTAAATTTTCCACCTAGAGGTAAATTGGTTTAAGCATAAGCTAAGATAGGGTGAATCTTTTCCATGAAGCTTTATTTTATTTCAGATATCAATTGAAATGATTTAAAAAAAAATAATGCACCTGTATTTGTATACTCAAATCTGAAAGGGCATTGTTGAATTCTTATTCTTTTGGTGGCAATTACACTTTTACAGTATTCCTTTTGTCAGTTCAATTTATTGGGGACCTCATATGCACTTGATGTTTTATATGATAATATTGGAGATGCAAAGATTTATGAGACAGAATCCCAGCCCTCATAGATTTTAATCTGGTAGAGGAGATAGACATCTGTCTCAAAAGATGCCTCAAAGTTTCTTCTTTTCTTTTTTTTTTTTAAAAACGACAGATAATGAAACAGCCACCGATTAAATTTGATCCCAAAATATTGCATCTGCCAGCATATTCAGGTAGGATCATAAAGGTTTTATCAAATACTTAGACTCTGGATAAAGATACAAATATAAAATTTATTAGTAAATGGAGTATTTTCTTACATGAATAGCTGAATTCGTATTTTCTTGCCAGTTGGCTGTATTCTTGGGGAAGTGTTATACAGTAAACTATGAACAATCCGTAAACCATTTGTGCTCGCCCTTGACATTACACAACTAAGTCTGGGCTGCTTTATACTCTTGTGGCTGGGGAAGTTCCTGTAGAGGAGGGTGAGTGTTCCTGTGTAGTGGGTGGGGGCCTTCTCTTGCCCATTCCCTTTGTTACAGCCCGTTGAATTTCTACTACTTATGGTGCTATTATAGGTGAAAATGTTGGGTGCCACGGTGAAGAATTGGGAGTCAGTGGGGAATGGAAATACTTAAGGAATGATTGTTGCATTTCCTCTCAGCTAATGGAAATTCTTATTTAGGATGAACAGAGGAACTTTTTATATTCTGTAAATTTTGATTTATTTTGTTTGACAAGTTATGTTTTAACTCGTTGAGCTTATCTAGAGATAATTCTTCATAGCTGGAGTCTACAACTTGATGTAAAATTTAAATACATCAGCTGATGGTTTATAGAGGTCTCAGTACTGATTAAAAAAAACAACAGTACAGAAGGACATTTTGAAAGACTAGCATGAAGCAAAATGTTTTTAATATTTACTAAATATTAAGGAACCTGGTGGTACAGTGGTTAAGTGCTTGGCTGCTAACCGAAAGGTTGGCGGTTCGAACCTATCAGCCACTCTGTGGGAGAAAAATGTGGTAGTCTGTTTCCATAAAGATTACAGCCTTGGAAACCCTATGGGGCAGGTCTGCTCTGTCCAGTAGGGTCGCTATGAGTTGGAATCAACTCAGTGGCAATAGGTATTTTATTGCTTTCATTGCCAAGTAGAACTGTTATTTATGAAAACCTAAAGGATTGCTATCTGGAAATAATAATCTTTCTCTTTTTTCCTTACTTTGAATTATTTAGGAAATTATTATTATTATTATTTTGCTTAAAGATAGAGATTGGCTAAAATGTATTCATTTTAGATACCATCTCATTTTCTAGTGTTTACCCTTTGTTTCTGTAGGGTTTGGAAATCGGGATTCCAGATGATTGAGCCTTCATAACATACCTGGTTGTTTAACAGTAGATTCATTGTAGAATCTTTGGCTCTTACAATATTTTATGGCTCAATTGCTTTATTTATACAAGGACTATCTTGTTTTCTCATAATACAATTTTATTTGACTTTGCATTATATTATGTTTTAGCTAGCAGGATAATTCTCCGTTAGACTCATGCCTACCCCCCAACCCCCCAACATAGTTTTCCCTTGAAATAGTTTAAAAATCTCCATGGGTAGAAAAAGAGATGTGTGTAGAAGGATAAATAAAACTACTGTCATCTTTGGAGCGTTTTTTGATTTTGACAGCGTCAAGTTATGGGGTTCTTTGTTCTCATCCTAGCTATTGAAATTGTATTCTCCATTTTATTTCCCTTGTAACGTTTTCAGCAATCCTTTTCACGTAATACGCTTTTATTATTTTCTTGCCTCTGCAGTGGATAAGTTAGTATTTCTGAAAGACCAAGATTGGAATGACTTTTTGCAACAAGTGTGCTCGCAGATCGACTCCACCGAGAAGAGTACTGGAGCCTCCCGAGCCAAGCTCAATCTCCTTTGCTATTTGTGTGTGGTGGCCGGCCACAAGGAGGTGGCCACCAGGCTCCTCCACTCCCCGCTGGTAGGCTGTCAAATTGTGAAATAAAGACTTTCTCAAGGTCCCTGCAGCATGCCTATGCCGTTAACGTTTGCATTTCTGTAGCAATTAAGACAAGTGCTAAAATAGTAATTTGATTTTAATTACAGTGAAAAAATAGTTATTTATTAATATTATAGGCTTACCAGAATTATCCTGTTTAATCCTTAGGTCTAAAAGCAGTTGAGTGGGAAGTGATTTTGGACTTTTTTTTTTTAATACTCAGGTTTGCATTTTATGTTGTCTTAACTGTAAGGTACTTTTCATATCTGAACTCATAAGACTTTTTCATCAGCTGCTGGAGTGAGCTGCCCATGTGGAGTTGGGCGTCTTACCTGGGCCAACCTGGTAAACGCCAGGGTTTCTGATGTGACAATTGGGGGAGGGGGTGAGTCTCTGAGACTTTTGTTTCTTTTCCCCTGGTTATATTACTTCTTGGACTGTCTTGGTTTATTGGTAGAACCATGGCAATTGGGCAGAGTTTTGAAGTCATCCTCAGAAAAGAGTTAGTGTTCTGGAGGCATTTTTTATAGTGGGCCCTCACTTGGGAGCTGGCTTGAAAAAATTTAAGTGTATTCGCTTACAGCATAGTATGAAGGTTACTTTCTTGGTAGTTGGTGTGTGTCTGTGGTGTGGGGGACATTTAGGGAACGTAAATGGGTAGAAGAAACAAAGCACTGTCCTTAGTTTTTATCTTATTCATCTATTCAGTGCTTATGGCATCTTTGTAAATAATTCTCTCCTTGGTGCAGGATTCACATTTCAGTTATGTAGAGGTCTGATTGTTAACATAGTGCTCAGTCTCTCTGTTGTTCTCTGGTTGACATGTACATTTTAATTTTTTATTCTAGTTCCAATTGCTAATCCAGCTTTTGCGAATAGCTCCAAACTGGGATATGTAAGTAACATTTTTATTTAAAAAAAATTACTCTTCATGATTTTTTAAAGTAGTTATATCATACATGTTTATCAAAAGCAGATCCCTAAATAGTTATCGTAAGTCATTCTGAAGTAATGATGATACTGTCATAGGCAGTTTTTCTAGGAATCCCGTTTGTAAATCTAAAGAGAAGATTTAAAAATAGCCTTTATCCTAATACTACAAATAACAATTCAGGGATTATATAAATTACTTCTGGTAACTATTAACTCTTTTGACTCTTCTTTAGCAGATAGTTTAACCCTGATCTCCGTGATTTAATCCAGTTGTATTTCTTAGGAGTTTTTCGTTACCACTTGCGTCTTTCCCACACGTAGAACTTAGCTTCCCTGTAATGTTATTTAAAGATCTAACGGGAATATGACTTACAAGCTCCTGATGGAAGGAAGTGTACTTGCTTTTTTGTGGAGGTACCATTGTGTGGCGAAAAGCACGTAAGTTAAGGTGTTAGAAGGCTTTAGCCTCCAGTTGCCACTAAGACTTGGCCACATGATTTCCTCTTTAGAGTTTTACCTCTTGGACAGTCTGTGGGACACTGAAAAGGCACAGGCTTCAGATTCAGATAATCCTGGGTACCGCTTGGCTGATAGATCTGCCCTCTGGGCAGATTTCTTCACCTGCTGAACTTCAGTTTCCTCATCTGTAAAATGGGGATAGCATATTTACCTCATAGATTTTTGGTAACAAACTGAATGAGATGAGTATGTGAAATACCTTGTATCTGTTTCTTACTGGATACTTAGTTATTCACTGGAAGCTTGGAAGTTGTAGTTATTATTATCGAGCCAGCTTATCTCACATGATTATTCGGAGAAACACGTGAAAACATGGCGGTGAAGTTTTGTGAAACGTGGTAGGGTATGATGGTAATCATTCTTCCACGTCTGCAAAATGTGGGGGAGACAATAGGTGACCACAGACTGCTTTTTTTAGTTATTGTTCTTATCATTCTTATAATGTATCTTTTGATGTTACATTACTCTCCTGAAGCAAAGTCTGCCACTACAAAATAGGATTTTTAGGTAATCTTTGAGTGTTTAATACTTTTGAGGAGGTTTGTGGTATGCTCATTGAAAAGAACCCAGTCGATCTCCTAACACCCTAGAGAGAATTTAAATGATATCTTTGAATGGAGTGCCCCCTGCTGATTTGTAAAAATAGACATTTCTTAATCCTTTCCAAATACTGTTTTAAAACTAATTTTTCTGTTCTTTTAACTGAAGTTTAATCATAAAAAAGTTTTAATTTGAGGAAAATAATAAATTAGGTGATAAGTCCTCTCCCTGGACCTTTTTTTAGTCCATTTTTTTCCACATCCACATGCCTTTTCTTCTATGAAGCCTTCTCTGACCCCAGGTCATGTTACCTTGGTAGCATAAGAAAAGGGTCCTTAACTTAGCCCTGGGGGGAAAACTGTTGTGAAACAAAACCAAACCCCTTGCCTCCAGTCGATTCTGACTCGTAGCAACCCTATAGGACAGAGAAGAACTGCCCATAGGGTTTCCAAGGCTGTAGTCTTTACAGAAGCAGACTGCTCATCTTTCTCCCATGGAGCATCTGGTGGGTTCAAACTGCTGACCTTCCACTGCGACACCAGGGCAGTAGGTATATTTATTCTTGGCTTTATTCTGAATATAGAAAAACTAAATTAGAATTACATCTAATTTTACAAGTTTCTCTTCCCCCTGCAGTATATGTATGTTATGTATTTTAAAAATGTCATTAATGATTTGCTGAAGACACGTTGTTATTGGATGCCTTTTATTATATGCTCTGATATCTGATCATTTTATTTACCCTGTTCTCTATTTTTGGATAGTATTATTATATTTTGTAATCAATATTTTGATAAACACGTTTGTGCTTTAATCTTTGTACCTATGTATGTTCTCTTTTTGCCCTTAGGGAAGATTCATAGAATTAGAACAAATTGGTAAAAGGCAATAAATATTTTTGTGACTTCTGATAAATTGCTAAAATGCCCTTCAGAAATTTCATCAGTATATGTCCCTAGTCAGTATGTATAAAAATGCCTTTTTGTTAGTACTTTTAACATTGAATATGTATCAAATTTTGTAATCTTACCAATCAACTGAATCAAACAAAGGAAACATATTTGGAAAAGAAAGTTTTCAGATGCAAATATTTAGATATGACCACTGTTGATAATTAGTGACCGTCCTCCTAGATGTCCTAACTCTGCCTACAGACATGACTATACTGTATGTCTGAATGTCTTTATATACCACAGGACATGCTTAGATGGGTGGATATACCTCTTATTTTAACCTAAGTAATGTGCTGTCCCTGTTATTTTATAATCTGTATTTCCTCCACTTTCCTTGTCATCCATTAGGAACTGTTTGTATATTTGTTATCTAACACATATTCATTGAGAACTTCCATGTGTCAAATTCAATAGCTATATAATGTTTCCTTGTGTGTACATCGTATTTTACGTGAGTACTAAACTTTTTTTCATACCCTTGTGAAATTTTTTTTTGTTCAATTATGAGTCAGATTTAGTAATTTACTTTTTCCTAGAAAGCAGTTATTTTAATATTCTCTGTATCTCTGGTTATTTACCATTTCTTTTCCATGAGTTTGTATATTTCTGCTTTTTTTTGCTGAGTAAGAGTGGCTTTTTATTTCCTTTTGGTATTCTTGTATTTGCTTTTCTAAGCCTATGTATTTTATGCTTTAATTTTTAAATTAAATAATGACTTCATTCTTTCAAAAGACAGTTTAAGCACATAAAATTTCAAGCACTGAAGAAAGACGGTGCAAAACAGAGTACTCAAAAAAATCTCCCCGCCTCTATATTTAATATCTAGTTACCATGATTTTAGACATCTGCATATTCGGAAGCTCTGGTGGCAGTGGTTAAGTGCTCGGCTGCTAACAGAAAGGTCAGTGGTTCAAACCCACCAGCCACCCCGTGGGAGAAAGGTGTGGCAGTCTGCTTCTGGAAAGGTTACAGTGTTGGAGACCCTATGGGGCAGTTCTTCTCTGTCCTATAGGGTCACTATGAGTAGGAATTGACTTGATGGCAATGAGTTTTATAAATTCAGGAGAGATAAGTAGAAATACTTTGGAAAGTAGTATTATATTGTGCGTGTTACTTTAGAATAAAAATTATTTAATTGTACTTGGATTTAAGAAAAAGAATTTTCAGATATTTCTTCATATGAGATGTTAGCTCATAAAATTTCAAGGTTTCAAAAAGATTACATACAAAAAGCATAAAAGATTGCTCATTGCTTTTTAACTGTTGGAAAGCTGAGGAAATTCATTCTTTTATTTCTTCCCATCTACCGATACAACTGTTTGTACATTATCATGGTTTATGGAACTTATTCTCTGTTGTGTAAACAAAATTCTCATCTTTTTTGTGGGGGGGGCACGGTTTCTCCATTTCTGAATTCTTTGTTTTAATTCACCTCTTGGCTGATAGGGTTTCATCATCTGGTAGTTTTTTTTTACTTGTAGGGAGGTCTCTGGCTGCTCTGCTTCTGGAGTAGTTGCCCCTTGAGGGCCTCTCTGTGGTATTAGGGGTCAGGCACCATGGGCTGCTTGAGGCTTCCCTTGACCTTGGCCATGCTCACCCCTGTGCAGCACTGTGGAGTTCGCTCACTCTCTCCTGATGCTGACTGTGGTTGTCAGGGACTCGGGGCCAGCCTGACTCTTCTCTTTCTGTGTGACTTGTTTATTCTTTGTTTTTGTTTTTCACTGCCTAAGTTTTGCTTTGTATCCTAGGCTTGTGAAATTTTACTAGAATGTGTCTAGGTAGCTTTTTTCATTAATTTGCCCAGCTGTTGCTCTGCTAAATTGTTCAGCCCTACTTTAGTTTTTCTTTTGTTTCATGATTTTTTCATTGCTCTTCTGTCTGTTTTCTGCTCCTGAAATTCCTGTAGGATGGATGTAGATTTCATGTCTTTTGACTCATATTTTCTTTGGCTTTTTTACTCCCTCTTTTTTGAGGTGTGATTCACATACCATAAAATTCATCTTTTTAAAATACACAATTCAGTTGATTTGGTATATTCACAAAGCTCAGCAAGCCCACTATCTAATTCTGAAACATTTTTATCACCCATAAAAGAAACCCTGTACCCATTAAGCAGTCATTCACCAGTATCCCCTCTCTTAGCCACTGACAACCACTAATCTACTTTCTGTCTATAGATTTGCCGTTTCTAGACATTTGCTATAAATGGAATCATAAAATATGTAGTCTTTTGTTTCTGGCTTTTCCTCAGCATAATGTTTTCAATTCATCCATTTTGTAGTAGTAATCAGATCTTCATTCCTTTTATGTTTGAATAATATTCCATGGTATGGATATACTACATTTTGTTTATCCATTCTTGATGGACATTTGGATTGTTTCCATGTTTTGGCTATCATGAATAATGGTACTGTAAACATATGTGTACAAGTTTTTGTGTGAATATGTTTTCATTTCTCTTGGGATGTGGGTGTGTGTGTATATATATATATAATAAGAGTATATATATATATATAAAATAGGGCTGGGTCCTATGGCAACTCTATGTTTTGAGGAACTGCCAAACTCTCATTGTCACTTTTACTGCTGTTCCCTGACTTTACCTTTGAGGTCTCAGGTGTGATATTTAGCCCTGCTCATTTTATTATTGAGGATCTCCATTTAGTTATTTTTATTCCAGCAATCATGTTTAATTTTTTTTTTCATATTTTTGTTCTCTGTTCCTTTTTCCTAGATATGTATGTTTGATTCTATAATATCCTTTGGAATCTGAGGGTAAACATTAGGATTATAAGAATTCTGTTTGGAAGAGAGTTTAGGTTTAAATATTATGGCTAATATTTAAGGTTCAACATGAGGATTATAAAAATCGTACTCTTTAAAATTAGCCTGTGGGTCACTTCTTTTTCATCATGGTCCTGTTCTTTAGTGCTATTGTTCTCTCAAATGCCTGGTGATCTTTGATTGTTAGTTTATGAATAAATTATTAAAATGATTGATATAGGAGTTGGTAATATAATGTAAGTGTTTCTCCAACAGCCTCTCCTCAAAAGGAAAGGGCTGGCCTGTGAGTGGGTGATGCCTGTTGACCAGGTGACTGTGATGTTGAGCACCCGGCTGGCTTTAAGAGTGAGTGGGCAGGCTAGAGGCCTCTGCAGTGGCTGGGGTGGGTTTTTCTTTAGGGTGGAGGTAACTTTTCTCCTTTAACGCCTTTCTCCGCCCAGGATCTGATGTGGAGGACTGGTCTCTGGCTCCCACATACACACTTGTCTTGCACCCACAAGTTAGATCGCTCACTGTAAGAATAAATTTCCATTTTTATCTTAGGAGGCAGGGACCACAGAGTTTATTCTGTGTTCCAGGGAGGGGATGGGAAGGAGACAGGACCTAATTGGCTCACCTGTTCCCCTTGTGCAGTTCTTGAATCACTAGCTCTGGTGATCATGCTATGGCTCATCCTGGTTTTCTGTTTTGGTTTATCCCAACTGGGGCTTTTTGGAAGTTCAGTGCTTACCTCTCATTCTTAGACAAGGGTTTCTTCTGTTCTTTGCGTGTCAGTCAAGTTCTATCTATTTATGTTGTCTAGGATTTCTTCAACCTTTCTGGTCTACTTTTAGCCCTTCTTCTTGTTTCCAATTATCACTTAATTAAAAAAAATTTTTCCTTCTATTTTAGTAGACTATTGAGAGACCAAAGCAATGGGTGACATGTTCTATCTGCTCTCATAAAGCAAGAGAATGTCTCATAAGTTTTGGCATGTGTTCTTTACATGATTTTGATTTATGGACTTTTTGATTTCTTAGGTGCATGAGATATATAGAAGTGCTTCTGTTTTTGCTTATATTTGTTATTTATACTTTCATTACAGCATAATAATGAGGCCTGTATAATTTCTGCCTTTGGGGATTCCAGGAATTTATCTTTGTAGTCTAATTTAAGTCATTTTTTAAAAGTATGCCACGAATTTAGTAAACAATGTGTTAATAACAGCTAACACATTCAACACATTAAATGTCGGACACCATGGTAATTAAATCTCTTCACATAGATTATTTTTTTCCTTTGATTCTTAGAACAACTTGATGAGGTGGGTATTGTTATCCGTCCTGCTTAGCCCATGAGGTAACCAGGGCATGTGAAGGATGAGTAAATACCCCTGGGTCCCGAATGTGTAAGTGGTGGGGCCAAGTCTGGGCCCAGAGTCTTAACCAGCACTCTATACAGCCTTCCATAGACAAGTGTGGTCACTGTTTGTATGGTGCAGAGTTTGCTATAGACATCTGTTCTTTGACCTTATGAGTTTTATTATGGATGCTTGTATGTACATATGCAAGTATGTATTCATTGTTGCCCTCTGCTGTGCTAGGGAGAGAAGTAGATTGAAGTTTCCCACTCGTATCTGGCTTACTTTTCATGCTTTGTTATTTGGTATATAGATTTATGCCTTATATCCTTTATGACTAAGACCATTTTTAATTTGAAAGGAACCTTTTTCTCATTTAAGGTTTTTAGCCTTGAATTCTACTTTGAGATTTACATTGGAAATCCTGGTTTACTTTTGTTTGCCTTGTGTAGCCGTATTTTTGCCCGCTCTTTTCCTACTAATGTGTTAGTTACTTTGTTTTTGATGCTAATATAGTAATTTCACAAAGATTTATTGAGGGCCTACTCTGTGCCATCATGATAAACATCATGATAAATGGAGAAACTGTGCAGAGATGGAACGGAACACTTTTGTCATTGTGTAAAGGTTTGATGGGCAGTGCTGCTCTAGATGCTATCATGGAAATGAGGATGGTTCTGAGGTAGAGTGTAATGGGCATGGGGGCAGTTTAAGCGGTAACGTTTAAGAAGCCTGAATCATGAGACGTAGCCAGCCTTGTGAGAGCATTGAGTGTAGGGTATAGCCGTATATTTTGATTTTTGTAAAGCCTAGGAGATACTGTTGTTATTATGTAAAATACTTATGTTACCTAAAAACCCTTATAATTTTAAGTTATGTGTATTCTCTTGTCCTAATAGGAATTGTTTCTGCTGAGATCAGAAAAAATATTTAATTACCACATAGTGATACATTTTTATTTGAGTAAATTTAGTAGCCAATACTTAATTTTGTAGATTGGAAAAACGATTTAGGTTAAGTATTTTGGACTTATCTTTGAAAAGAGAGTTTTGTATATGATATATTCTAACTCATTAGTGAGTTTTGATAAAAGTGTTTGTTTTACAATTGTGAATAAACTTCTTAGAAGTTGTTGTTTGGTGCCTTCGAGTTGATTCTAACTCATAGTGACCCCATGTGACAGAGCAGAAGTGCCCCATAGGGTTTTCTTGTCTGTAATCTTTACGGGGAGCAGATCTCCAGGTCTTTCTCCTGTGGAGCTGCTGGCTGAGTTCAAACTGCCAACCTTTCAGTTAGCAGTTGAGTGCTTAACTGTTGCCTCACCAACTTAATTCGCTTTGAACTACACAGATGTAAATTGAATTGTACAGTAAGTTCCTGGGTTACCAACATCCGACTTATGGACAGCTTGTACTTGCCCTTTAATGTTATGTAAATTTGCCCTCACTTTGAAATGATTGAAGCAACCCCTACTTGCAAAGAATTCTTCATCACAATCACCTTCACTTGTTGAATGTGTAGCTTTTAAATCATTGAAAAGGCTTCTAGTCTTTTCTTGCACTAAACCAAAAACCAAACCCATTGCTGTCGAGTTGATTCTAACTCATAGTAACCCTATAGGACAGAGTGGAACTGCCCCATAGGGTTTACAGGGAGTGGCTGGTGGATTCGAACTGCCTACCTTTTGATTAGCAGCCGAGCTCTAAATCACTGTGCCGCCAGGGCCAGTTCTTGCACTAAAGTTGAAGGCTAAATAAGAACTGTGTGCACCTTTTCTGACTTACCTACAAATTTGACATAAAGACACAGTTAGGAACGGAACCCATTAGTAACCCGGAGACTGTAATTCTCTGTGGTGGGATAGCTGGTTAGTGGCAGAACTGTGACTAGGAGCTTTCTTGTGCACCTTGTGGTCCAGTGTCCTTTTCTCTGCATCACCAGGCCCTACCAAATGTTTTTCAAAACAATCACTTTTAGAATATAATCTTTTATTTAGAGGCAGAATGCTAATCACACAAATGTCCAAGAATTCTTAAATCTTACATTAAGAGATTTACGTATCTAATTCAGGAAATGTGGAAATCAGTAAGAATTATTTCTGTATGTGAGAGTTCTGACAACAGGAACGTTTTCTCTGTGGTACTTCTGAGTCTGACTTGTTTTCCTCCCTGCTCCCTGCGTATGTTTGTTCTAGTAACCTGAAAAATAGAGGCCCTCTGGCTAGTGTCACACTTTGATTAGCCCAGAGAACATGCAAGCATCACTAAATAAATATGCAGTTCTCATCAACTCACACACTCAACCATTTTTTTCTTCGGTTTTTAAAAAAAGTTTAAAAAAAACCAAAACTAATTATTTTTCTATGTGAAATAGCTTTTTCAAATCAGAGTGGAATAATACTTAGTAATTTATCAACTTTGTTTTCTGCTGGGTACCAAAGAAATACCTCACTGAACTAGTATTTATTAAAATAGGACAATATTTGCAGAATTGATGATTGTAAAATTTTCTGTTACAGTGAAGAATATAGGTATATATGTTAAGCTGTGTTGATAGTAATTATTTACTACTTATGTAAAAACTCATTGGTCTACTAACAAATAGAACAGAGGCCTGTAGCCAGATGCCTCTATATTCAGAGATAAAAAGATTAATTACTGTTTTCCTCTTCTCTCTGGTTAAGGCCTTTTAACATTTTTATTTTCCCCTGTTTCTGTTAAACCACAACTTATTTAAACGTTGTCGCTATACAGACAATGCTGCAAAGAACGTTGCTATTCATGTGCCCTGTGTACATGAGGGAGAGTTTCTCTGGGCTGTATACATGGGGGAGTGTGTGCTTGTCCTATCACATTCAATTTTTATTTTATCTTCTTGTATCTTATGTCCATGCATGCATAATGTATCTAACTGGGGGTGGTTTCCTCAGTTTCTAACGCTCCTCTTCAGAAACTATTTTCTGTTCATTTACAGACGGGCCAAAGTTGCTCGGGTGATTGGTTTACTGGCCTCGCACACAACTGAGCTCCAGGAAAATACACCTGTTATTGAGGTAACTTCATTTATTACTAAACTGTTATGAATGATGAGAAGATTTTTCTTGACTTTGTATTTTAGAAGATGAAGCTTTCTTTGACCTTAATTTTCCTTTGTGAGTTGTAGCAATAGTAATGAAACTGATAACCTCAGTACATCTGTAGGCTTGCTTAAACACAGAAGCTCATTTACAGCATAGTCTGTTATTAAAGGTGATATGGCAGAGTTAACAAGGCTTGTGGAATTCTAGTCATCATTATTTCAATTATTTTTGGATAAGGCTTGTTTCATTACTAGTTTTCTTGTAGTTCACCCAGTATTTTGTTATAACTCAGGTGCTTTTAGTTAGGGTATAGCTCAGAACTCAAAATTCTTTTGGCTTTTCACATTAAATTTAATGTTCTCATCCTCACCAGTTGTCAGTTATTTCTGCACATGTAGACATGTCCTTGTGAAATTTGTAAGAGAAAAAGATAGAAAACCAAAAACCAGATTACATACAAAGAAAAGTGAATCAGGTTTGCATTTAAGTTGTAACACTAAAGGCCAGAATATACAGAAAACAGTGGAACAAAAATTAAGGGGTTGTATGACCTTAAATTTCTATATACTGGTGTGCCCTATTGCCTGTTGTGAGGACAAAACAAAGCTAGTTTCAGAAATTTAGGGACTCAGTCTGAATTTCCCTAACATCTCTTTAAAAAAAAAAAAAAATGAGGTGTAGCTTCCCCAAAAATCAGCATGAAAAATTAGTGTTAAGACAAAGTATAAAAGAAACAAATTTCTTAAATAATGAATACATTAAAACTCAAGTCAAAATTATATTTGTTAATGTTGTGAAGCTTAATGTACGGACAGTAGATTCTTGAAAAAGAATATATGTAATGTCAAGAATAACATGGAAATAAATCCTACATTATTTTAAAATACTTAGAATGGTACAGGGAAGGAATAGGAAAAGAAAAGGCAATTTTTTGTCATGTTGGAGAAATTCATAGATAAGTGTTTTATTTTGGACATTGATAATTTCTTTTATTCTTGACATTGATGTTTTGTTCATTTTTTAAACAAATGCTTATTTTAGTACTTGTGTATACACAACTCACTATCTAGGTGATGGGGATATAGTGTTGAACAAGATAGATTAAAAATACCTGTTCTGATGGGTGCTAGCATTCTTGTGTGGAGAGATAGATAATAAATAAATATATAAAATGCCAGATGATGATAAATACTATGAAATAAATAAAGTAGAATGATAGGGTGGCAGTGGTACTATTTTAGGTTGGTCAGGGAAAACCTTTGATAGGAACATTCAAGCAGAGGCTTGAAAGAAGTTGAGGGAACAAGCTATGTAGTTATCTGTGGGAAGAGTGTTCCAGACAAGGTGAACAGCATTTGGAAAGGTCTGGAGATAGAAGAGTAGTTGGCATGTTTCAGGGAATGACAGGGAGGTGAGGATGACTGGAACTGAGTAAGTGACAGGGAGAGAAGTGTGGTAGGAGATGAGGTTAGTGAGCTGGCTAGGGGCCAGATCGTACAGAGCCTTGTTATAAGCCACAGTAAGGGCTGGGATCTTATTCTGAGTGAGATGGGAAGCCATTAGAGGAATCTGAGCAGAAGAATGCTTTGACTAGAGGATTTTATTTGAAAAGGGTTACTCTGTCTATTACAGGGAAAATAGACACAGTTTTGGGGCAAGGTAGGATCAGGGAGACCAGCTAGGAGGCTGTGGCAGTAATTCAAGCGAGACACGATGGTGACTTTGACCAGGTTGTTAGCAGTGGAGGAGGTGAAAAATCATTTTATTTTGGAGCTATGTGTATATATATACATACACACAAATACGGATATTTAGGTATGTTTAGAGATACGTGTGTGTGTATCTCTAAATGTGATGAATATATTTTGAAGATAGTGTTGACAGATTTGCTGATTGCTATATTTGAAGGCAGACTGCAAAAACTTAAAGATTTAAGATGCTTTTTATTGATCAATACAAATTCTAATGTTCAATAAACATGAAAAGTGCTGAGTCATCGGAGAAATGCAAATCAAACCAAAATGAAATATTGAGACAGTCACCAGATTGGCAAAAATTAAAAAGCCTCACAATCCTGAAATACTTCTACAAAGAAAATTATAAAACACTCTGAAAGAGATTAAAGAAAGCTTAAATAAATGGAAAGATTTTCCATGTTCATGGACTGGAAGACTTACTATTGTTATAAGATGTCAGAACTACCCAAAGTGATCTATAGATTCAAAGCAATCCTGATCAAAATCCCAACAGCCTTCTTCACAGAAATGGAAAAACCAATCCTCAACTTTATATGGAATGGCCTGAGGCCCTGAATAGCTAAAGCAATGTTGGATTTCCACATGCAGAAAAGTGAAACAGGATACATGCCTCCTCACACCATACACAAAAACAAATTCAGAACAGGTTAAAGACATAAATGTGAAAACTAAAACCGTAAAATTTTTAAAAGAAAATGCAGGGGCAATGCTGTTGGGCCTAGCTTTTAACAACGAATTATCTAATAACGAAAACAAAAACAAAATAAATACATGGTACCTCATAAAAATTAAAAACTTTTATTCATTGAAAGACTACCAAAAAAGTGAAAAGGCAGGCTACCAACTGGGAGAATATCTTCAGAAACCATATATTTGATAAGAATCTAATAACCAAAATATATATAAAACTTCGACAACTTAACAGAAAGACAAATAACGCAGTCATAAAATGGGCCAAGGACTTGCATAGACATTTCACCAAAGAAGATATTCAAATGGACACCAAACACATGGAAAGATGTTCAGTGTCATTAGCCAGCTGTTGCTGTTTGGTACTGTCGAGTTGATTCTGACTCATAACGACCCTGTGTACGGCAGAATGAAACACTGCCCTGTCCTGTGCCGTCCTCATGATCATTGTTATGCTTGAGCCCATTGTCACAGCCACTGTGTCAGTCCGTCTTGTGGAGGGTCTTCCTCTTTTTCACTGATCCTCTACTTTACCAAGCATGATGTCCTTTCTCCAGGGACTGGTCCCTCCTGATAACATGTCCAAAGTATGTGAGATGAAGTCTCACCATCCTGGCTTCTAAGGAGCATTCTGGCTGTACTTCTTCCAAGGCAGATTTGTTCATTTTTTCGGCAGTCCGTGGTATATTCAATATTCTTCACCAACATCACAACTTAAAGGTGTCAGTTCTTCTTTAGTCTTCCTTATTCATTGTCCAGCTTTCATGTGTGTATGATGTGATTGAAAACACCATGGCTTGGGTCAGGTGCACCTTAGTCCTCAAGGTGACATCATTGCTTTTTAACACTTGAAAGAGATCTTTTGTAGCACATTTGCCCAGTGTAGTGCATCTTTTGGTTTTTTGATTGCTGCTTCCATGGGCACTGATTCTGGATCCAAGTAAAAGGAAATCCTTGACGACTTCAATCTTTTCTGCATTGATCATGATGTTGCTTATTGGTCCAGTTGTCAGGATTTTTACTTCTTTATGTTGAGGTATAATCCATACTGAAGGCTGTAGTCTTTGATCTGCATCAGTAAGTGCCTCAGGTCCTCTTCACTTTTCAGCAAGCAACGTTTGCTTGTTTTTTTGAGTGAAAACAAGTATCCTTATTGCAGTATCTAGAGGTGGTGATGCAGAGTTCAGGGGGGCCGGCCAGAGCCGGAGAGGAGGCCAGCCTAGGGACTTGGTGGAACAGACTCGAACACAGACAGAGCAAAGCTGCATTTTCCTCAGTCACAGAAATGTCTGGATGCGAGGAAGGCTACAAAGTGAGCAAGCATCATCCCTACGGAGGCCCAAGCAGAGGGGTGGCCCCCAGTGTGGATAAATAAAGGTGTAGCAACCTAAAGTCACAATTCACAGCTGGGCTACGTCCAAGGTAAGGCTGGCTCCAGTGGTGCGTGAGGTCTGGGAGGGGGTCTGTGAGGGCCACTTGGCCAGGGCTGCACAGGCCGTTGGAAGTTTGACTAATCAATTCCTGAGCAAGAGCAACTTTGAAACCAACTCGTTGCCCACGAGCCAACAGCAGCACTGAATCCCAACCTAGAACTGCCAAAAGAAGCCAGGTGCGAGGTCTCAACCTGCTGTCTTTCTCTGTGCCAGCTGCCCCCAGAGCTCGCTGGAGAGAACAGGCATTTTGGCGGCAGTAGCCACATCTGGGAGAACTATCTAGTGTCACTTGCAGCCCCAGGCAGCACACGCCATAGCTAAGGGGTGTGCGGTCATGCCTGGGTCCCTGGTGGGTTAAGAGGCTCACAGGTGCCCAGCACAACAACAGTTGGTCTCTATTTACCTGGAGCAACAGAGGAAGAAGGAGAGTCGGGAGTAGGAGGAGGAAGTGGAATGTGTGGCTAATTGCCTCCATGAACAAATGCCTCCTTTGCCAAGACCAGAAGAACTGGATGGTGTCCAGCTGCCATTACTAACATTTTGATCAAAGATTCTATAGAAGAAAAATCTTGAACCGAAATGACTTAGTTATCTAGTGCTGCTATAACAGAAATACCACAAGTGGATGGCTTTAACAAAAAGAAATTTATTCTCTCACAGTCTAGGAGGCTAGGAGTCCAAATTCAGGGTGCTAGCTCCAGGGAAAGGCTTTCTCTGTCGGCTCTGGGGGAAAGTCCTTATTATCAATCTTCCCTAGTTAATAACAAACTCCTCAGCGCAGGCACACAGGGTCTGAAGGATGCGCTATTCTCCTGGCTGTTGTTTCTTGGTTGTATGAGGTCTCCCTGTTGCTCTGCTAGCTTCTCTCTTTATATCTCAAAAGAGATTGACTTAGGACACCATTTTGTAGATTGAGTCCTGCCTCATTAAACATAACTGCTGCTAATCCCACCTCATTAAAACATCACAGAGGTTGGATTTACAACACATAGGAGAATCCCATCAGATGACAAAATGGTGGACAATCACACTATACTGGGAGTCATGGCCTAACCAAATTGACGCACATTTTTTGGGGGGACACAGTTCAGTC